GCTTAAGGACCCTTTCCAGTGCTGTTTATGTCTTGTTTGCTGTACCTCCAGTGCCCAGAACACCACCACATGGTGTATAGTAGGCACTCAGTAAATGTTTGATGAATAAAGGAATGAACCAATACTGTGACATGTATGCCTATGTACCTCTGAGTGAGCAGATCCAATTTTGTGTGAGTCTCTATGGTAGGTGGGCATAGACCTGGGTGGGAACATCTGAAGGTGCTTCAGAACTGTCCCTGCCCTTTGCATGTCCGCGTCTGGGAAGGTGTGTCCAGCCAGGTGCACATTCTGAAGCACATTGAACCGTGACTATGTGTAGGTGTGTGCTGTGCCTGTCCTGTCCCTGAGAAGTGAACAGAGCCTGCTGGAGAGTTTGGACTTGCTCAGTTGCTGCAGGGCCCTGCATGGTCCTGGCCCCATCCTGGGCCTCAGATTCCCCGGGATACAAAGAGGCAGCTCTAAGAGGGAAGCCACCACCAGAAACGCCTCCACTGCGGGTTGGAGCCCCACCTGCCACTCAGGACTCTTGGAGTAGGAGAGAGTCTCCCCATTGAGCCAGAAGTAACGCTTCTTGAAGGCAAAGCGCGTGGCCAGGCTGGCGGGCTCCTCCTTGCGCTTCAGGAGGTAGCCTTCTCGAACGGTCACCGATGGTGGGACCACGGCCCTGGCTGGGCCCCCAGCCTCTGGAAAATGGGGAAAGGGGATACAGTGAACCCCTCCTATCCAGGCTTAACTCGCCCTGCCAGCATGCCCAGGACCGCTGTGGATAAACCTGATGCGCTGCTCCCCTAGAGGCAGGAGGATGAACTGGACGGCTCTGAGCCCTACTCCCTCCACAGGGAATGGTGTTATTAAGGGTGGGGTGGGAGCACAAAGTAGGTCTTGATCTGTCTCCTCCTGAGGGATCTGCAGGCAGTGGCGCAGGCAGCCAGTAGGGGGAGCCACACCTATGGAGTCAGTAGCGGCAGTTCTGGGAGTACCTGAGATCTAGCCGCCCCTGGGGACCCCAGACACAGCCAGGACTCGCCCCAGTGCCACATGAACCCTGCCATGCTACAACCAGGGCTCCACATTTCGATAGGTTGCTTTAATGTGACCTGGCCCCAACTGTCTCATGACCTGAGCCCCACGCTGATGCAGACTCACCCCCAACTCTTCTGCTTAAAACTGTCCCTATGCCTTCATTTCACTCCAAGTTGAAGCCAAAATCCTTCCAGCTGACTGCGAAGTCCCACACAATCTGGCCCCTTCCTCTTTCCATCACTCCCCCACATTCACTTTTCTTCATTAGCCTCATGTTGCTCTCTGTCCTCACCTCAGGGCCTTTGCACATGCTGTTCCCAGCCTGGAACACTGTTCCCCAGGATCCTCACAGCTTGCTCTCTGTCCTCTTTCAGGTCTTTATTCTAATATCACCCAAGGGAGGTCACCCTATCTAAAAGTTTGACCTACCACCCCACCCCAAAATTCCCTTCCCTCCTCTAGTTGTTTTCCTTAGTGCTTATCACTCCCTAACACACCACACAACTTGATAATTCATCCTGTTTATAGCCTGTGGCCCCCACTAGAATGAAGATTCCATGAGAGCAGGAGTTTCTTCTGTCTTGTACACTGCTGTTTCCTCAGCACCTGGAACAGTGTCTGTTACATTATAGGCACTTAATAGATACTTGTCGATTGCATGCACACCATGCCACAATCCCCACCCACATCTCCACATTGGCTGGGATGACCTGGAGGACAGAGCCTGAGATCTGTTCATCTCTGGGACCTAACACAGTATGTTCCAGGGAATGTTAGTTGACTGACTAGCTGACCCACAGGACAGTAGTCTCAGTGCTGGGGTGAGAGAGGGGTGGTTGAAGTGCAGGTCCCAAGGGTCCAGTGGAGTGACAAACCAAACATGGCAAGGATACAGGAACTCACCCTCTTCCCCATTCACATCCACCAGCTGGTCTAGGAAGTCTCTCACACGCGAGATACTCTGCAGCAGGAAGGGATGTAGGGGGGCCATCCACAGTTCCTTGCCCTGGCCCAGCTGCTGGCCCAGGTTTCCAATGCTCTGCACAGCCTAGAGCAAAAGAATGCCAAGGCCAAGGTCACTCCAGGGGTGAAGGGCCCCCTGTAGACCCAGAACAGAGCTCCAGAGTCCTAACTCCCAAATCACTGCTCAATTAAAGGAAAAGACTCATGTCTCCTCATAGTCACCTGCTTTGGGCAATATCTATACATCCCTGTGGACAGATATGCACCCCCAGTGCCCTTACTTTGTTCCCTCTGGAGCCCAGATTCCCACACCCGAGAGTACCTTGTCCTCTCATGCATACTCTGGATACTCTGGAACCCATCAGAACATCAAAATATGGTCACTTTGAAAAGGATAGTCTGATTCATACTAAGGTGTAAATGACTGCTGGCCTGTTTCCCACTTTCTTCCTGGAAGGGTAAGGTTTTCACTTCAAAAGAGAAAATTAGAGTGTAACAAATGCCTTCACACTCAGGCTATAAGGCTTATGGGTCTTATTGGGTCTTCTGTGGGTCTGGCCTCCCAGCTCTGTTCCTACCATGCTTTTCCCTGGCTATGAGCACATATGATGAAAGACTCTGTTGCTGATACCTTGGCAAGCAACAGCAGTGAGCGGCTGGTCTGGGGATCTGCATGCTGGTCTCGGAGATCAAACAGCTTCGGGGTGAGGATGGCAGGTGCAAAGAATCGCAGGAAAAGAAAGCCACTTATGGCCAGGTACTTCACATCCTGCTGAGAGGAGCAGCAGGTGAGAGGAGCCCCCAAAATCCACTTCCCAGATAGAGATACTGAGGCAGCAAGGACTATAGATTGGTGGTGCAAGGGGAAATGGGATGGGAAATGGGTCAGGAGGCCATACTGGTCTTCTAAAGAGAATTTTCCTCCCTGGGCCTCAGTTTCTCCACCTGGAAAATGGAGTAACAATACTAATCTTGCATCATCAGATTTTTAAAAAATTTTTATTAAGGTATTATTGATATACAGTCTTATGAAGGTTTCACATGAAAAACAATGTGGTTACTGCATTTACCCATTGTCAAGTCCTCCCCATATCCCACTGAAATCACTGTCTATCAGTGTAATAAGATGCCACAGAGTCACTACTTGTTTTCTCTGCTTGCACCATCAGATTTAACCAAATATCCTGAGTCTGCTTTGTGCCCAGAACTGTGCTAAGGGCACAGCCCCCTGAAGGAAGCACCATCATTATCCCCGTTTTACAGATAAGGCAGCAGAAGCTCAGAGATACCAATTGACTTGCCAAAGGTCACACAGCTGATGAGTAGAGGAGGCAGCATTAAAACCCAGATCTATGATTTATATACATATATAATAACATCAACAGGCCAGATACTTCTCCAAACATGTTTATTTAATACTTACCTAAGAGGTATTATATCTCCATTTTACAGAGGAGGCAGCTGAAGCCCAGAAAGGGAAGATCACTTGTCCAAGGCCACACAGCTGTAAGTGGCATAGCCAAGATTTGAACCCAGGCAGAACTGTAACACTCAGCTCTTCACTACGCTCTCCTGCACACTACACTAGCTATTGTGGAACGCTTGCTGAGTGGCAGGAACTAAGCCTGAACTATCACTCTTACTTCTTAAACAATCCTGTGGCATAGATACTATTATCCCCATTTTCTGGATGAGGAAATAGGCTCTGCAGTGAACCCAGTATGGTGCCCCTCAGGGTGAGTCCTAGGCCTGATCCACCTGTAGGCAAAGCTGGTCTCCCAGCTCCAGCCAGGGACTCAGGGAAGGTGCCTCCAACCTGGGGCATGTGGCACCCCCCATCCACTCCCACCCACCTCTCACACTTGCCTGGTTATATTTAGCCCGAGAATGTGCTCTAATATTTATTTAAGGGTTGTATTCACACATGAGACAAAACCCTCCCTGGGTACGTGCCAACTTCCCGGGCATCTCTGCATTGACAGTGAACCCTGCCAGGAGCTGGGTACCTGGAGCTGCCAGGGGGAGGGTCTCCACCCCCACCTTCACTCACTGGAATACTGAGTGCCCCCAAGGCCATCACCCCTGCATGCACCATGCTCCAGGGTCATTTTAGCCTTTGGCATCTACTCTTTGCCTTCCTCCCTTCTTAAGAAGAAGGAACAGGTGTCAGAGCAGCAAAGAAAGGAGCTCCCCTGACCCCATCTACCCTGTGGGCCTGAGAAAGTCCCTGTTCCCTGCCAGTGGCCTGCCTTGGCCTACTGGGCAGGGGGTAGTAAGCATAGGGAGAAGGGACACTTCAGTGTGCTGACATTGGCTCCCCCCACAAGGGCCAGGCTGTCTAGGGAGCCGGCCTCCCCACTTTCCTTCCCTCCTTCCTGCCACAGTGGTGTCCCACTTAGCACCTCTGCCAGCAGCCCAGGTGAGAGCCCAGCAAAGTGGGGTAGAAATCAAGCCATGTCCCAGTTTGGAGGTCCAGAGCTCACTCAGCAGGAGATGAAGGGAGAAGGGAGAGACCCCCTACTGGGATCCAGAGGCCTCGTTTTGAGTCCACAACTCTGGGTCAAGGCTCTTTACCTCTCTGGGCCTCAGTTTTCTCATCTATAAACAGGAAATGGGGGGAGATGTGGCATAAATCAAGAGCTCTTAACCCAGGCCTTTAAGGATTGGGCCATTACATCTCCAACATTGTCTCCAAGCAGGCAAGATCTTTCTGCACAGTGAACCCCCAGTCCGCATTTCTGTTACATCAACACTACGTAAGAGCTGACCTCATTTGATGTCATTTGTAAGTAAGAACAATGACAGTCACCTTGGAAGGGATGCTGAGCATTAAACCAGGAGGTCTCAAGCTGGTTAATCCAGCTGCAAATGTGTAATGACTGGCTCAAAGTATTGTTGTTCTGTTGCTGTTTGTTTGTTTGTTTTTAAGGTAAATTTTTTGGGCCAACACTTTAAAAAATGAGAGACTTTACATAAGATCCAGAATGTGGGCTTTAAAAAAAGACTTTGAAGATCTGGCATTACTGGGCCCCCCTTCCCACATGGCAATAATTGATCATCTGGAGCAGCCTCCTTAAGACAAACTGTGGGAGCTCCAGTTGGCCACAATCCCTATCGCTCCCTGCTTGGTTCATTTATCTTACCTGCCTAAACCCTGCAGCACCTGAGTTTTCAATTTTTCTATCAGTATTGGGAAAGCACTAGCCCATGCAGGGATTTATTTTTAGGCTTTATTTTGTGTGTGCTACTGAGCACCTACTGTATGCCAGCTATCTCCTTTTCTCCCTATCTTTCTTTCTTTCTCTAATAGCTAGAATTTCAGATGCACTTATTTTGTGCCATACTGTATTACTTAGAAGTTATGAGCACAGATTCAGGAGCATGGCTGCCTGGATGGGTGCCTATCCCAGCACCACCTCTTCCTAGCTATATAACTTAACCTCTCTGGGCCTCAGTTTTCTCCTCTGTAAAATGGAATAATACTGGTACCCACTTCACAAGATGTGAAGTGTATGTGAGTACTAGGTCTGACTCAGTAAGGGCTATATAGTGTTAGCTTCTATTATTATTATTATTATTATTATTATTATTATTATTATTATTATTATTACCACCCCCGGGTCCCAGACCCTGCCAGAAACACTGTCCCCAATTCTTCCAGGACACAGATCTTTAGTGCAGGCAGCTAAGGTTCTGTCCCTGCTCTGCTCTGACTCTCCATGTGACCCTGGACAAGCAGCTGCCCCTTCCCAGCCTCAGTCTCCCCATCTGCCCAATGGGAGCACCTGGCCCACCTTGTGCTCTGCCTGGGGAAAGTGCTCCTCCACGCACTGGTGCAGCTGCTTGAAGGCAAGACGCATCGTGGGTGGGCAGCGCCCCACGGAGCCCACAATGGCATCCACGATGGGCCCGAGGTAGCCGGTCAGCAGCCCCAGGCTGGCCTCCCGCAAGTTGTCCTCTGAGGGTGTACCCTTGAAGGAGATCCTCCTGGAGAAGCAAGCGGATCGGGTCTGCCTCAAAGCCCGACATCTGCCCCCACATAAACCCTCCACCCGCACCCACTTCCCCTCCCCACCTCCACAACTTCCCTCCCACCAGGCTTCTTACTGCTGCTTAAACACACTGAGCTCATTCTCACAGGGAAGGCTTTGTACATGCTGTTCCCTCTGTCTCGGACACTCTTCACACCTCCACATTCAGCTTCAATGTCACCTCCTCAAAGAGGCCATTCCTTCCCCCATTGCACATCATCTCAGGCCCTGATTTAGTGCATTTTCAGCATGGACATGCCAGACACATGCTCCACCTCAGGACTTTTGCAGCTGCTGTTCCCCCCCCACCCCGGAACACTCTTCCACCAGCTCTGTGCACGCCTCCTTCCCTCACCCGCTTCAAATCTTTGCTTAAATGTCCCATCCTTTAGAAGGTTGTTCCTGTGACCACTGGATGGAGTATCTCAAGCCCTCCCTGCTCCTGGCACCTCCCTCTAACCTCCTTTGCTCTGTTCTCCTGCATTCCTCTGATCATCTTCAAGGACCTTCTTTAGTTGGTTATCTCCTCCTAGAAGCTAGATTTGTGTCTGTTTATTCACTGCTGTTAACTCAGCATTCAGCCAGTGACCTGCACACAGTAGGTGCTCAACAGTTGTTCTGTTGAGCAGATGGTGGAATAGCACTTATTTGTCTTTAATTATTTTGTTCCATTCTTTCTTGTTCCCATATGGGTTTAGGATCTGTCTTGCCTACCCACAGACTGAGAACTCTGTGGAAGCCAGGCTGAGACTTCTTGGTCCCACTGTGTCCTGAACCTAATGAGCTGAGCCTTGAACTAACTGTCTATGGTATGTATCATTTAATCCCAATAGCAACCCAATGGACTAAGCAGCCTAATTGTTCCCATTTAACAGAGGAGGAAACTGAGGCTCAGAGAGGTCACCCTGTAAATAGGTAACAGAACAGAAACTAGAACTCAGGACTGCCAACTCCAGAGTCTGCCTGCCACCCTGCCCTGCCCAGGTGTCCAAGGCCCTGCTCCCTAACGGCACCCACTGAATCCCTCCATCCTTGCCAGGTGGAGTTTCACAGATGGACTCTGCCCTTCTGCTCAGGGCCTGGGTTCAAATCCTCAGCTTGCAATTTCTTTGCAACCATAGGCAGGTGACCACCCCTCTCTGAGGCATCATGATCTGTAAAAAGGGGTACCAATGCTTTCCTCTGGGGGTGGGTCACGTGTGAGCAACACTTGCTGGGCAGAGCCCAGAGTGAAGGAAAGAGCCTCTCCTGTCCTCACCATCATCCCTGCTGGACTGCCCAGCAACCAGCAATGATGGCGTGGTGGGAAGCAGCCCACCTCCCTAGCTGGAGGGGGGAAGGTTCTGGAAAGAGAGGAGGAGTTCACAGAGGTGTGCAACAATCCTAGTGGCTGCCCCGCTTCCTCTCATTTCATCAAGAGCTCCAGGCCCCCTCCCTCAAGGGCCTCAGCCACCACAATAGTAAAGATAATTAGTACTTAAGGAGTATTAGTTAGTGCTGGGCTTTGCGTGTATAACTTAGCTAATTCTCCCAACAATCCATAGGTAGGTATCATGAGTCCCTTAGGGTAGAGGCGGAGCTGAGATTTGAACCCAAGGAGCTGTTACAGAGTCCCGCCCCACCACCCCAACATCATGCACCCTAGGGTGAGGCTTCACAGTGGAAAGCGGCGCTCCTGAGCAGCTGCACTCGGGGAGGGGGTGGCAGTCAGCACAGACCCAGCCTGACGGGATTCCAGCTGACAGGAGTTCTGTCAGAAAGTCGGTGTTCACCCCTCAGGCTTTGCTCACCTGGTGCGGCCCAAGTCCATCTTGCATGGGTCCAACTCTATGTACTTCTTTTCCTCAAAGACGCGATTAATCACGGGCTTCAGCACCTCGTGCAGGTAGGGCATGCCCACGAGCTGGGGGCAGGGGGCACCACACAGGGCGGGGCTGAGGGTGAGGCCGGGGTGTTCTGCCCATGAGCAGGGGGGCGGGGGTAGCACACTGCAAGAGGTTCAGAGCGAGGCCGGGACATGCCCGAGGACTGGGGTGGGGAGCACCAGGGAGCCACTCAGGCCAAGGCTGGGCACCGGCCACCAGCACCCCAACTCAGTACCCAGTGCCGCTGGAGGCCAGCCAAGCTGTGGGGTGCCGGTGAGCACAGAAGGGCGCCCCCTTGAGGAAGCCACCGTTGGGCCTCACCCGGCCTTTGCCTGCTCACCTTCATAAACTGTTCCATCGACTTGGATGCCAAGGAGTTAGAACGGAACAGGGTATTGGGGTTGGCTGGGAGGACAGAGGAATTGTTTGCTGGGATTTGGGGGGCTGGATACACCTCACCCCCCACACCACCCAAGGTGGGGGTCGTGATCCTTCCAGCCTCAGGAATCAAGGTGATCTGCAACATCAACTCAGTTCACAGTACAGAGACCCAGAGTGGTTAAGTAAGCTGCCTAAGGTCACACAGCTCAAGAACAGCAAAACCAGAGCCTAAAACCAGGACTGCATTCCCAGGTGGCTAGGGTACACAGCATAGGGAACCCCATCTACACACACTCACAGGAGCCCTGCCTGAAGCCTCCCATTTTTCTCCCACAGACCCTCTGTAGACCCGTCCTTGCAAGTCGTAAGGGTAACTCACTGGTCCGGGTCACCTCACGTCGGGTGAGGTAGTCCAGAAGGGGACTGGCATGGCCCTGGCCAAGGAAGAGCTTCACCAGCTTGGTGGCCAGGTCCTGGCGGCAGTCCCCCAAGGTCAGCTCCTCCAGCACAGCCAGGGGGCTAGCAGCATCCTCCTGGGCAAGGACAAGAGAAGAGGCAGGAGAGGTGGCCCAGGGCCTTGGGACCCCAAAGCAGAAGAGCCCAGTTAGGAATCCTAAAGCAGGGGAGGCCCAGAACTCCACACCCCTCTTCAGAGCAACTGCTTGTCTGATGCACCCACCTCGGCCGGCCCCAGCACAGACTCCATGAGCAGCTTCATGAGTGGCTGGTAGTACTGGGAGGGCAGGACACGATCCTCAGTGAGGCGCACTGTCAGCCGCAGAGCACCCAGGTTCCCCCTGACCAGGGTCAGATCACATGTGAAGGAGCATAAGTACATATGGGGTAGGTGTGGAGAGCCAAGGTAGGCAGGTGTGAACACAGGTAAGCAGCAGGGATATATGCAAAATAAGACAGGTGTGGATAGGTGTGGGTAGGTGGGGTAGTTGTGAGCAGATGTGGCCTATATAAACAGGTGTAAACAGATAGTGACAGGTATAAACAGGAATGGACAAGTGAAGGCCAGTATATGCAAGTGTGCAAGAATGGACAATGTGGACAGGTACGGAGGACCCAAAGTTTGAACACACATCAAGTGTGAACTGACATCTTCACACATGAACAGGTGTAAAGTGAACTCATTTAGACATATGTAAACACACTGTGAGACATTCTACATATGTTAAATAAATGAACAAAGTGACATGGTGATAGCCTGTGGACCAAAGAGGGCACCCATGAGGACCTGCCCACAAGCTGAAGATGGTTCCAGCCGGGCCTCCACCTGCCCACCCACATTTACCCAGAATCCTCCTCAGCTCTGGGAAAGGGTAGGAGGCGGAACCAGCCGTTGGGTGGGTTCTGCTGCAGGACCTGTGGGGGGAACTCCACCTGCAGGGGGGGACACACATACCCTTAGCCGAGCCCTGCCCTGCAGGGCCCAGGCCCTACCCAGTCCAGGAAGTAAAGCTTAAACTGCCCAACCAAGGAGGGAAGTGAGGCACACCAGGGGCCACACCTCCTCTCCCCCAAGGTATCCCACCCAGATTACAGCAGGGACACTCCCTCCCCTAGTCCCAAATTATTAGCTCCTGCCTGGGCACTGAGGGCCTCCAGGGAACAATTTATAATTGAGGAAACGGAGGATCAGAGAGGTAGAGTGACTTGCCCAAGGTCACACAGCTGCTAAAGACAGCATATCCAGACTGAGTGTATTTTCAGCTCTGTTTAGGGATACAAATTGCATCTATCAAAAGGCTTAAAGGCAGTCCAGAAGGCCCTCAGCCCCACCTCTCTCTTTTTAAATAACTTTATGCAGTTATAATTTATATCCCATAGTTTTAAATACAACACTATTTAAAGTGTATATAGTTCAATGGTTTGTATATTCACAGAGTTGTGCAACCATCACCTCTAACTTCAGAGCATTTTCTATCAGCACTCCCTCCCAAAAGCCTGCACCCTAAGGCACACCCCAGCACCCCAGCCCAAGGCAACCAATCCACTTTCTGTCTTTACAGGGTCACCTATTCCAGGTGTCTCATATAGATGGAATCATGTAATGTGTATTTTTTTGGACTGGTTTCTTTCACTGAGCCTAACGTTTTCAAGGCTTATCCATGATGTACCACGTGTTGGTGCTGCCTTCCTTTTTATGGCTGAATCATATTCCATTGTCTGGATCCACCACATTTATTTATTCATTCAACTGTTGATAAACATTTGGGTTCCTTCCACTTTGGGCTATTATGAACAATGCTGTTATGAAAGTCATGTAGAAGTTTTTGTGTGTGCCTGTTTTCATTTCTAGTTGGTACATACTTAGGAGTGGAATTGCCTGGGTCACGTGGTAACTCTAACTGAGGAACTGCCAGGCTGGTTTCCAAAGCGGCTGCACCATTTTACATTCCCACCCTTCTATTTGCTATAATGTTGCCTCCTTTTGAAAACTATCAGCCCTGAGTGTGCATCCTTCACTACCCTGACTGTGCATTCACTACTCCTGAAACAATCACACCCATTGTACAAATGGGGAAACTAAGATTCCAAGGGAAGGACCTTGAGCCCAGTGCTTCCAGAAGTAGGAGTTAGGGACTTAGAGTCTAGAGTCAGAGAGACCTGAACTCAAATCCTGGTTCTGCCATTTCTTAGTCATATGACCTTGGGAAAGCCACTTAACCTCTCTGAACCTCAGTAGTTTCCCCATCTGTAAAATGGGGATACTTCCAGCCTCATAGGGGGGCTGTGAGAGGTTTGGAAATGAGATTATGCTGGAGAAGCACCTAGCACAGGGCCAGCACATGCCATCCTGGGTACACTCATTCCAGAATAAGAATCTGGACCCACCCTGAAGAGCCTCAGTCTCCTCACCTGTACAATGGGGCAATAAGACTCCATAACCCAGGACTGGCCAGGGGACCCACTGAGGCAGCCTTCACATCTACCCTTCTGGCTTCCAGGGGGCCCAGCCCATATCCCCCTTCCTTCCCCTTCAGAGGCAGAGGCAGCGGGCAGGGTGTCGGGAGGTGGTGCTCACCATGCCCAGGAAGTCATTCTTGCCCACCAGGTCCCAGTCCCAGAGCTCCACCCGCAGTGGGGATGGGCCACCTGGCAGCTCCCACAGCTCCAGCACCTCGTCCCAGTGTGGGAATCGGGTCTTCTTGATGGTCTGGGGGAGGAGGGAGTAAGGGAGAGAGCTGATGGGGACTGCCCTGCCAGAGGTCCCCACTCCCCGGCCCGCCCCACTGCTCACCGACGTCTCCAAGCTCTGGCTACCCCAAAACACACGTGCGAATGGGTCGGATGTGCCGGAGATGTCGCGGGGAGCCAGGTCTCTGCTGACACATGAGGAAAGGAATGGAGGACACAGCACCCTCGAGAACCAAGACCCAAGCTGCACCTTGGAAAGGGGTTCAGGGTCAACCTTTCAAATGCTGGTTTCCAAGGCAATGAGCCCTCTGTGGGGACCCAGTGAGGGGCACCCCTCACCGTGCCTGTCCAAACCCAGTATCTTCCTGTTGACCAGCGCTCCCCTATGAGAGGCACGAGTATGCCTCTATTTTCCAGATGAGGAAACTGAGGCACAGAACAGTCAAGCCCTGCATCACAAAGTCTAGCAGGTGAAGGTGTAGTGCAGATGGGAAGGGAGCCTCAGTTTCCCTGGAGTCCCTGGTTGAGAGACTGGATGCCAGGGTTCAAAGTCTGGCTCTGCCATTCACATTGGTTGGATGACACTGGGAAAAGTCACTTCACTTCCCTGAGCCTCAGTGTCCTCATCTGGAATGTGGCAGTAATAACAAGGCAAGGACTAAAATGAGATGACCTGTGTAAAGGGCTTGGCATAGCATCTGGCATGTGGTGAGCATTCAGCTCATTCATTCATTCATTCAACAAATACTCATGCCCACACGCAGCTTAGGACTCAAGAGAAGGAATGAGATAGAGACCCCCTGCTTCTGGCTGCCATGACAACCCAAAAGTGTCAGCCTCCCCTATCCCTCCTTCCTTAGGTCCCCCAAATCCAGGAACACCCCCCCACACACACACACCCAGGGGCTGCTTGCTTCCTCCTGCCGCTCTTCTCCCACCCCTGCTCGGCATCCAAAACCTTCTTTGGTTTCCTAGGAGCCAGCCCAGTTGCTAAGCGACAGCAGTTGGTCCCTCTCCTGCTTGCAAGGATCGTGCACAGCCTGTGGCTGGGGAGGAGACCATGGGCACAAAGCAGACAAGGAGCCCCTTCCCATGCTGAGTCCTTTTGCCTGTCCTCTGCCCTCAGTACTCCATCTGGACTCAAGGGAACCCCAGCTAGGGGCAGAAATTTGGAGGTGGTGGGAGAGGCACAGAGAGGGCAAGAAAGGGCTTAAGGTCACACAGCAAATTAGAAATAGAGATCCTCCCCAACCTGGCCTAAAAGAGAGGATCAGGGAAATAAGGTGTGAAAAAAAGGCAGAAAGACAAGATTGGAGATGAGAGGGGGAAAGAGGTAGAAGTATTTAAGGAAGCTAAATGATGGAGAACTGGTGAGGAAAAGAAGGGAAAGGTCACAGAGTGATAAAGAGGCAGGAGAGAAGATGGGTATCTGGAGGTCATCCGTGGGTTCTACTAATCCTGCCCTTGCCTGCCTTCTTATGTTTCTTCGGGACAGGACTAACCCTCCCTCACTCCCAGCCCACAGGACTTAGGGGGATCCCTCCCTCTGCTCCAGGAATGGGCTTTGACTCAGACCTGACCTGTCAGAGTCCATATAATTGGTTCAGAGACAGGCATGTGCCCTAGACTGAACCAGTAAGGATTAGTCCCGGGACATTGCAAATGGTGAAAGACAGAAGTTCTTTTTCAGTTGGAGCTGCCAAGTTGGTAGGATGCCAATCTGAGGCTGCTAGGGTCATCTCTGTCCCCCTACCTGGGGAAAGACTGCCTGAGAATGAAGCTAACACAAAAGATAGCTGAGGAATCTGTGGCTACAGATTCCTGATGTCATTGTTTGAGCGCCTGGATCTAGCCATGCCTGGAGTCACATGTCATTCAAATGAGCCAATCTGCTTAAGCCAGTATGACTTGGGTATCTATCACTTATAAACTGATTAATAACATCATACTCATCTGTCCAGCCATCCTGAGTGTCTGGTCATTGGTTGCTGGTCACTGGGGGTCCAATAATGATTTTGCTTATGCTTTGACCCAGGAACTTGCAATCTGGTGGGTTTGGACTGTTCACCTACAGGGGATCCTGGTTTTGAGCCCAGAAATGCCCCAGTAGTGAAGTGGTCTCACAGCCGAGGCAGCTGGGCAACCCAGTGGATTCCTGCTCATTCTCAGACCACCCCCCACACCACTCCCCATCATCATCATACCTGGCCTGGAGCACATGACAGCGAAGACAACAGCCCCGCACTTCCTTCAGCATCTGCACAGACAGGCAGATCTCACCCTGCACCTCTGCATCTGGGTCCACACGGTTCAGATTGATCCAGCTATCAATTCCTGGAGGGCACAGGTGCTAACATTTATTAAGCACTTACCATGTACTAGGCATTGTGTTAACTTAGAAATTCAGATAACATTAAAAATATATTAAACCATGGAGACTTCTCATGTTAGCCTTCTGATGTAGGTACTATAATTACTCCCACTTCCTGAGGCACAGAGAGGGAAGAGCTTTGCCCTTGATCCCATAGCTAGCAAATGGCAGAGCTAGGATTTGAACAGACAGTACAGTTCTAGGGCCAGTGCCCTGAACCATGTACTATCACACTCTTCACCCTGGTGTATGAAGCCCTCGATCATTTAATCCCAAAAAACTCACCCTCAAAACAATCTTGGCCATTCCTATCTCTAAGATTTTGTCCATGCCATTCTCCCTGTCCAAATCGAGCAAATCAATCTCAATCTCTCTCTCCCTCTCCCTCTTTCCCTCCCATTTCTCTCAACACTTTGAAGATACTGTTCCACTGACTTTTAGCTTCCATTGTAGTTATTTTGGGAAGTCATTTCAGCCTGATACTTGATCTTGTGTAAATTGTCCATCTTTTCTGTCTAATTTTAAGGACTATGTCCTTGATGTTCTGCAGTTTCACCACAATGTGTCCAGGTAAGTATTTCTTTTTATCCTGCTTAGAACAGATTGTACTTCTTATACTTACAGAATCATGTCCTTCCTTGAGTTCTGGAAAAGTCCAAGTCATCAACTTTTTTTTTTAATCATCTCCTTTCCCCAATTTTTTCTATTCTCTCCTTCTAGGACTCTAATTAAATGGATGTTAGACGTTCTTAGGTATTTTCTACATCCCTGAATTCTCTTTTATATTTTCCTTCTTCTTTCTTTGGGCTAAATTCTAAATAATTTCTTCAGATCTCTTTTCCACCAATTCTCACTTCAGCTCTGAATGATCTGCTATTGAACTCAGCCACTTAGTTTTTTATTTCAACAACTGCACTTTTTTTTTGCATCATTAATCTGCAATTACATGAGGAACATCATGTTTACTAGGCTCCCCTCTTCACCAAGTCCCCCCCCACAAACCCCATTACAGTCACTGTCCATCAGTGTAGTAAGATGCTGTAGAGTCACTACTTGTCTTCTTTGTGTTGCACATTCCTCCCCGTACCCCCCCCGACATTATACATGCTAATCATAATGCCCCCTTTCTTCCCACCCTCCCTTATCCCTCCCTTCCCACCCATCCTCCCCAGTCCCTTTCCCTTTGGTAACTGTTAGTCCATTCTTGGGTTCTGTGATTCTACTGCTGTTTTGTTCCTTCAGTTTTTTCTTTGTTCTTATACTCCACGTATGAGTGAAATCATTTGGTACTTGTCTTTCTCTGCCTGGCTTATTTCACTGAGCATAATACCCTCTAGCTCCATCCATGTTGTTGCAAATGGTAGGATTTGTTTTCTTCTTATGGCTGAATAATATTCCATTGTGTATATGTACCACAACTTCTTTATCCATTCATCTACTGATGGACATTTAGGTTGCTTCCATTTCTTGGCTATTGTAAATAGTGCTGCGATAAACATAGGGGTGCATCTGTCTTTTTCAAACTGGGCTGCTGTATTCTTAGGGTAAATTCCTAGAAGTGGAATTCCTGGGTCAAATGGTATTTCTATTTTTAGTTGTTTGAGGAACCTCCATACTGCTTTCCACAATGGTTGAACTAATTTACATTCCCACCAGCAGTGTAGGAGGGTTCCCCTTTCTCCACAACCTCACCAGCATTTTTTGTTGTTTGTCTTTTGGATGGTGGCGATCCTTACTGGTTCAACTGTACTTTTTATCTCTAACAGTTTGATTTGGTTCTTTTTCAAATCTGTTTATTTTTGTACTGTATTGGTTTAATTATTGTGGTTACTGCTGGCCCTTTCTGGTGATTACATTTTTTATTTATTTCAGTATTTTATTCTTTAAAAAATTCTGTATATCATAATTATAAAATCTAAAATCTGTGTGGGTCTAAACTCATGGTTATTGTTTCTACTGACTCTTGATCACGGTAACCCACTTCTTTGTGTGTGTGTTAATCTTGATTGTGAAGTTCTATTTGCTTGAGCTCACTCTGTGGGAAACATGAGGATGCTTAACCCCTGGAGAAGCATGATAGTTGCTCATTCTAGGACTCTTTAAGGGTCTCAGTCTAATGGGGAACTCTTGGGTTCAGTGACATCTGTCTTGCCCCTAGCCCAAAGATTTAGTCTCCTTGTTGACTATAAATTTGATATTGACATTTACTTTCAGGGAAATCCTTTCTTACTCCCTTATTTGTTATGAACACTGTTAGGTTTTAGTTCATGGTTAGAGGTGGATGAGTGGGGAAACTGAAGTTATTTTGATATCATTCTAGTGCACACTTCACTTGGTGTTGTGAGGACTACGTGTAAAGCACTAAGCATCTGCCTGGCACACAGTAAGCCCTCATTAAATAGGAGCAATGATTATGATGACTAGCACATAGTAGGTTTTCAAATGATTCTCACTGATGAAAAAATACATCATTCAATATATGGTGCTGAGACAATTAGTAGTAATCTAGACAAAAAATAATTAAGTTCAATCCCTACTCCATACTTTGTATCTGGATAAATTCAAAATAGATCAAAAACTTCAATGTAAAAAAAAAAGAAATAAACAAATTGTTGCTAGAAGGAATCATGTAAAAAGGTTTTTGCTCTTAGAGATGGGAAGGCCTTTTAGTTATCACAGAAAAGCAAGAGACAAAAAAGAGATTAAGTGACCATGGAAAAAGAAACAAATTTTATACATGGCAAAATGATAAGCAAAGTCAAAATATAAGTAACAAAAGAAGCAAAAATATTTGCAGCTAAAATGGCAAAGATTTAATTGCCCTAATATGTAAAGAGTTCTTATAAATCAGGAAGAAAAGCCAGACAACCCAGTAGGTGCATGCAATGCTAATAGACAATAGACAAATAAGGAAATAAAGTGACTCTTAAATATGTAAAAATGTTTTCAACCTCACTCATAGAGAAATACAAAAAAATCTTAACTAAGTAGTAATTTTTTCCTATCAGATACAAGATTGAAAAGTTTGAAGAAAGTTAAATTAAAAAAAAAACTTTAGTAATTGTTGGCAAGGGTATGTGGTGGATAAATTGCTATCTCCTCCATGGAAGGTAATTCAACAATAACTACCAAATGTGCTAATCTGGATATTCTTTGATCCAGCCAATTCACCTCTAGGAATTTATCAGACTGATATAACTTGCATATGTATGAAATCATGTTTGCACAAGTACAGTATTGTTTGAACTAGGAAAAGACTGTAAACAACCCAAATGCCCATCAATACAGAACTAGCCAAGTAAATAATGGCACATCCACACAATGGACTGTCATGAAGTCATACAGAGATCAAAGAATGTGGAAGCCCTTGGTGCATCAATATGGAAAGAGCTCTAAGATACATGGTGGAATTAAAAGACAAGATACAGGACAGTGAGTATAATAAGCTACTATTTCTGTAAGCAGAGAACAAAACACATATAGTGCAGTGTTAAGAGCACAGACTCTGAAGCTAGATAACCTTGGTTCAAATTCTGGCCATCCCACTTAATACCTCTGTGCTCTTGGGCAAGCCATTTAAACCCCTGTGATTCAATTTGCTCACCTACAGAGTGGGCCTAAAAAGAGTACTTACCTCATAGAGACAATTGAGTTGATACATGTGAAGAACTTAGAAAGTATTCAATGTATAGTAAGCACTACATACGTATTTGCTGCTGTTACTACCGTTACTTGCTTGTATGTATTTAAAATAGCTCTAGAAGGACACACAAGAAACTGATGACATGGGAATGAGAATGGAATAGTTGGTGTCAGAGGGACACTTCATCATACCTTTTGAATATTGAACTATGTAAATGAATTGACTGTTCAATAAGTGAACTAAATTAAAATTAAAAAAAAAAACCAAAATAATTTTCCCCAAAGTCTCCCCATGTTGCTTCCATATGTTGCCTGCAATGCCCTTGCAAATGCCCATGCTGGGCATGGCCACCCCTCCTCACTCTGCCCTGCTGGGGGCTGATGCCCCTCACCCACCTCTGGGGTCAGCTACAATTGCCTCCCTGCTCAACGAGATCTTGCCAATGATGTCATCATGCCTGCGGAAAAGACCCAAGTCAGGGACCCCAGCCCTGCCACTGGAGTAGTGGGGCAGGTGTCAAGGGCTGGATGGGTGGGTAGGTATTTGCTCTGGGGCATCCCACCTCCCTTCAGGTGCCCAGGCTTGGGTCCCCAGCACACACACCCTACTGTATCCTCGTCCAGAACATAGAAGGCCAGATGGTGGAAATCCAGGGGCAGGTGTACAGTATACTCCTCCCCCCAGAAAGGGCTCAGGCTCCGCCAGATGGTTGCTGTCCTGCAGGAAGGGATACAGGGTTGGGGGTTCTTGGGCCACACAGGTGGCAGACACCTGAGTACCTAGGCACACACGTATACACACACACAAGCCACAAACATATACTCATGAACCCAGGCAAAGAGATACTTACAAATACACACACAGAAACCTTGACACTCAGACACCCAGAGACCTCAACATGCACACACTCCCACAGAGATACACACTGAAACAGGACACTCACAGATACACCAAGAAAGCCAGAGACACAAAGGGACACATTCACACATATACACATACATGTCTTCTAGAAATTTCTAGAAATACACATCTATGTTACTACATGCAGACACAGAGAAAACAGACACAGTCACATAGACACACAGATGAAAGAAATGCCCAGAACATAGACATACACAAAGACCCACAGACACACATGCACATATATACATTGATACGTGGCAGATACACACACACACACACAGTAACTGACAACACACACAATCCATTCATTATTTATTCATTCCATCACTCATAAACACTCACTCCAACTGTACACCAAGCCTTGTGGGTTTTGGGGAATCAGAGGAAGCGGTGCCAAGGTTCCTGCCCTCACAGAGCCCATCTCAGAAAGCAGGTGTTCTCTTCTGGGCTCTCAGAGCACAGTAAGAGAAGTCCTGCAGTTGGGGGTTAGCTCAGTGGTGCCTGGCTGGGTCTGGGGGTGGGGATATGAGAGTCAGGAAAGCTTCCTGCAGGAGCAAGTCAGACCAAGTGGGGAGAGAGGATGAGGACAAGTATTCCACATGGCTGGAACAGCATGTGCCAAGGCCCTGAGGCAATAATAAGCTTGGTGACTTTGAGGAACCGGTAGGTGCTGGGTGGATAAGACAGAAGTGTGAAAGGCGAGGAAACCATGAAGTCAGCAGGTGCCAGAGCACTCAGTAAGGAAGAGGGAACCCCAAGAGGGTTAGAGGGCCAAGAAAAATCCAGAAGCAGGCACACATGTGGAGCATCTTCACCCCAACAGTCCTGCAGATGCACTTCCTTTTACCCAGCAGGGAACAAGGAACCTACCTTAACCAGTAAATACACACACAGATTTATGGCTAAAAAATCTGGTGCACACACCTGCTACCCCTTCCTCCTCCTTTCACCACATTCTTTCCCAGCCAAGAGTGTGAATGGGCCCACAGGTGCACACACACTGCACCTTTGCCCTCTACCCCAGCCTCGGGTACCGCCATCAGAAGGACCTTCTTCCCCCTCATCCTCACCCTGGCCTTTTCCCAGCTGGATGTCCCCTCAACCTCCCCAGGCCCTGAGCTGGGAGGCTCCTCAGAGTCCAGAGATGGGGAGACAGCAGTCTGGGGTCATGCAGAAAATCAATCTGCAGGCTGGGCTCAGTACCATGGAATGTAGCAAGGGCACAGCACGAGCAGAGAGAATGATAGAGGTCAGCTAGGTGCTGCAGGCTGACCCTCCCCCAGGCAGGCTCCCCACCCCCAGCTCCCAGCCCATCTGGACCAGAACCGGCGCCAGCAGCATCCTGAATCCTGCCGTCTCCATAGGAACCAAGGACTCAGCTGCCCGCCCACCCACACCCCTCAGGCCTGCGGGGGTGGGAGCCAAGCTCAGCCCAGCCCAATGCGTTCCGCACCCAAGACACTCACACACTGAACCTCCTCACTCCTACGCATGTATTCACACTGGAGTTTGCGCCCAAGTAAGCAGGCGCTGGTACACCGTATATACAGGGCAGCCCGTGTGCATGCACACACACACACATACACGCTCCCGTGCCCGCAGCACCCAGCAGGCCCGGAACCAGCCAGCCCAGCCAAGCGTGAGATGCCCGCCCCCAGAGAGGCCACTATGGGAGGAACAGGCTGGGAGGCATGGGCTGGCAGGCGCTGAGTCAGCCCCAGGACGCTGGCAGGGGCATCGTCAGGTCCAGGGGAAAGGTGTTGGCCAGTTGGTGAGGCTGGCTGGGGACAGGAGCTGGCAGCCCCAGCTGTCCAGCCCCAGAGGGGTCAGGGCACAAAGCACCCACCATCAAGCCTGTGTGTCCATCCTTGGGGAATGCACTGCCTCTCTGGCAGATGTGAATTCTTGTGCCTGGACTCCCAGGTGTAGAAGGAGCCCCTCCCCATTCCGCACTGCTCCGCCCTCCACCCCTACACCCTGGGCCCCAAACCTCTGCTTCTCACCTGGCCACCACCTCATCATCCACCTTCACTATGCAGTAGGGGTCACTGCTTCCAGACCTGCGAAAGGAGGAGGTTCATAGTTCATGGTAGGGGGGGATAGAGAGGGCAGCTATGGGTGGGGGTCTCAAGCCACCTTCATTATTCAGATGGGGTAAGTGAGGTTCAGAGAGAGGAAGATACTTGCCTAAGGTCACACAGCAAGTCCATCTAAGAGGCAGGACCGCAGGGAACCAGCAGGTGATGTCATGGCCACACAGCCCACCTACTGCATACCTGACCCCCCACTCAGGGCTCTCTGGGCACCCACCCAGAGAAACAGAGCACTGAGGCATGAAGCCAAGGAACTTCAGAGGCCTGATCCCAAGAAGCCCACAGCAGCAGTCAAGAGCATGTGCTGGGGAGTCACTGCTGGCTCCACTACCTGCTAGCTGTGGAACCCTGGCAAGCCCCCTCCTCTTGGTGGGCCCTGGTTTCTCCGCTCTACAAACAGGGCAGAATATTACCACACCCCTCCTTGCGTAGTTGGACAAACCAAAGGAGATAATGCAAAGTAGGGGATGCAGACTGGGCTGACCCCAGGGCTCTCCCACACTTGCCTTAAAGCCACCCTGGCGGGTAAGCATTGCCCTCTCCCACTTTTCATTTCAATGGGAGTTTCTCCAGGGAAGGAGAAACTCAGCCTTCAGCAGGGTGGACCTCTTACTGCAGGCACAGACCAGTGCACCCAGACTTCAAAACTCAGCCATCAAGACAGATGTGCTGATTCCCCTTGAGTAGCCATAAGCCATCAGCCAACCAAAGCCAGCTCCAACCCCCCTTCATAATAAGAGTTACCAGCCATTCCAAGCCATCTACCAAGGCCCTCATTTCCTTGTGTCCCATTGCACAGACTGCATTTGTCTTCTACCAAGCTCAGGGCCTTTGCACTTGCTATTGCATCTGCCTAAGACACACCGTCCCTGATCTTGTCGTGGCTGGCTCCATCCTGTCATTCAAACCTCAGCCCAAAAGTCACTTCCTCAGAGAAGCTGTCCCTGACCACCACTGTCCTGTGTAAAATCGACCTCTGACCCCTCAAATCACCTTGCTTCCTATTTCTCTCACTATTTAATGTCTGACTCCCACCCCCAGCTTCAGGCAAATTCTGAACTTTTAGCTCCTTGAGCACAGACCTGCATCTTCCCTCCCCCCACTCCCACTTGGATGAGTCAGGATTTGATCCAGGGTCAACAGGGGCTCGGTGCACATCCTCTTAACCAGTGTCGCCTCCACCCAGTTCATGATCCCTTCCCCAGATGCCCCCTCCCTCACGCCCAGCCCCAGCCCTCTCTCTCTGTCGCCCCTAATCAGTTCATTTTGTCACTGATCCACAAATGCCTCAGGGATTCCTAGGAAAAGGGACACTGGCACCAGGAGTGGGCTCCAACCTGAGCCTTGTCTGTAGGTTGAGCCCTTCCCTATGCCTCAGTTTCCCCCTCTGGGCTCCTTCCCTTAGCCCCTGCTGTCTGGGTGTCTAGTGCCTCTGTTGCCCTATCTGGTTTCTATTCCTGCACATCTCAGCCTGGGTGGGTCCTGCGTCACCATGTTCCTCTCCGGATTCCACTTCTGAATCCCTTTCTGTGTAATGCCCCAGGCTTAGTTTCCCCATTTAGCCCCATCCTTCACCCCCTCTGCAAGCAGAGCTTCTTATCTGATTTCTCTCTGGATTCTCTATCCCTGAGCTTCTTTTAAGCAGGTTCCCAGTCTCAGTTTCCCCAGCTGCAGATGTGGGGACAGATTGGCTGGGATCCCATGAGCAAAGGGCAGGGAGACACACCTCCTTCCTCAACCAGCCTGACCTCTGGGCCCCTCATGGGAGCCAGGCTCCCACGTCAGCCCCAGGGCTCTGACGCACAAGACCCTTATCAGGCTTCTGTCAGGTGGGGGCAGCGGTGGCAGGGGGGGTGGCCCCTCAGGATCCTTGATCTCTCCAGACCCTTGGCATCTCCCACAGCCCCTGTCCCAACTCAAGTGTGGGAAAGCAGGCCACTCGGCCATAGCCTGTTCAGTATGGTTGTGCAAGGGAGCAGTTAGGGCTGAAATCCCACCTTGGGCAAGTGACTTTGACTCTATGGTTCTCAGTTTCCCCCATTTGTAAAATAGAAATGCTAATAGGACCATAGGAAACATTAAGTGCAGGGCCTGGCCCATAGAAAGCCCTTGATGACTTATAGCTGCTATTATTAGTAATAGTAATACTCTAAAACTATTGGCTGATGCCTCCTACTGAGAGCCAGGTCAGTGCTCCAGCAATCTGGTGAGGCTTCAAGAAGAGGAGAGAGGAGAGAGGACACACCACATCTAATAGTCTCCATGGGGTAGAGAAACCCAGCACGCTCTGAGGAGACCGCCTCTGAAGAAGGGACCCAACAGCTAGGGAAACTGAGGCAGGGAGCCTGATCTCCAACTGGGGCTTAGTGATTGCTCCTTTGCTTGTTCTGGGGTGTGGCCCACCTCAGAGCTCATCTTGGCTGGTGAACTTGGGGAAGGAGGGGTGGCCAAGAGATGCAGGAACCAGGCATGACTCAACTCCCTCCTCAGGAGAGGCAGGAACCCCAAGAGCCATGTCTGGGTCCAGGGCACCAACCGCCACTCCCTGCGGCTCTCACCCAGGGCTGGTGGAGGGACCAGAGCACAGTGAGTGACACTGTGCCCCCCACTCCTGGCCTCAGTGCCCCGACAGTTCCAGAATCTCTAATTCTCAGGGTCTCTGAGAAGGCATCCCAGAGAGAGGGAAGTAGGGGCTCTTCCAGATGCTGCATTCACACACGTTCTCTGCTTTTATCTCAGGTGCCTGTTTATTTGGGGTAGCTGATGAGGATTGGGGGAGGTTCATGAAATCAAAGGCAAGATATTCCTCGCTGAGGGTCCAAAGCTTGGGGAGTTAGGGTAGAGCTAAGACCCAACCTTGACCTGGGCAAAAGCTCAGAATCCAGGTTCCCACTCACCTTGGCCACAGGGTAAAATCCTAACAGGCTCTCCACCCCCACAGCTGCAAGGGGCTTAGCCATTCATACCCAGAGCTCCCATTGCCCAGATGGGAAACCAAGACCCAGAGAGGACCAGGTTCAAGGTCACATGGCCAATGTCCCACCAAGGATCCCACACCTGCCCCAGGTGCTGACAACCTCAGAGCCCCCACTGGGCTCCAGGGAATGCAGGAGGGGGGCCACTCCCACCATCCTGCTGATTCGGCAGCTGCTAACTCAGCCCTGGGGGAGCACAGCCGAAGACTGGTACTAAGGGGAGGCCAGGGGTCCTCCGGCCCCATTACACCTGGCTGGGGAGGGAGTTGGAGTGGGCAATTGGCTCTTCAAGCTGTTCAGCATTCAGAGTAGGCCCACACAAGGAGGTACTGGCTGGGGAGCTCAGGGCTCTGGGTCAAGAGGACCACAGTTTCCCCCAGGCCTGGCTGGTTGCCACCTGGTGACAGTCTGCAAACCTAAACACCAGATGTACACAGACCACTTCTTATGGTCCCCCAACCCTCTGGGTCTCCTCCCCAGGGTTCTCTTGGTAGATGCCAACCGAAGAGAAACCCTACCTCCAACACCTGCCTGGACTAAGGAAGAGACTCCCTCAGCCCCTCCCCAGCTCCAACAGCATGCGACCTTCCAATCCCCAGCGCCGAAGCCGTGAAGTTCATCCCAGGAACAAAGACATCTCCGTTCCCGGGGGACATCTGCTCAGTCTGGGCGCGCCCTCCCACCTAGACAGAGATGGGCATGGGGCCTCTCGCCCCGTGAAAAGGGTAGGAGGTCTTAGACAAAAAACCCGTCCCACTTCACGGACCCTCCCTGGCACGCGGAATGGGCGACCCCCGCCCCACCCCAAGCCCGATATCCCTCTCACCCCCTGTTCTCCTGGGGAGTACTCACACGTCCTTGGCGGGCAGAGCCCGGCCCTCCACCACACGGACATTCAGGGAGCTGCTCTTGGCCATGGCTACCAGCCCCAAACTTTCCGGGCAGGAGGGCGCCCAGGTCCTGAGGCTGGACTTGGGGTGAGGAGGCCGTCTACATGTCACCAGCTGCGAGCTTGGCGCCCGTCCCGGGTCCCAACGCCGCCTGTCCGAAACACGGGTAGCTGGGCGGGAGGTTTCCGAAGAAGAACAGGTGTTCGGGACAGCCTCACCACCGCCCCGGGACTCTACAGGTAGGAACCGGGCGCCCGGCAAGCCGAGCGCGCAGGGGGCATCACCGACTCTCGCCTCTTAGACTGGAGCTCCTGGCGCGCGGGCGGGGCGGGCAGGGGGCGGGAGGGGGCGGCCCAGGGCCCTCCCCCAATCCCACCTCCCGCGGGGTCCCCCTCCCGTCCCCGGGCCTCCTCGCGCGCCCTCTGCCGGCACCCAAGCCAAGCGCGCCCCAGCGCACCGAGACCAGGGCACTGAGGCTGGAGCTGCCAGGTGGGGAGCCGCCTATGGCCACGATGGGCGTGGCCGCTGGCTCCGGATGAGTTGACATTGAGCTCAGAAGATACAGTATGTGCCCTGTCTGCCCTCCCTCCAACACAGGCACAGCTCCCCGGCCTCCCTGCCTCCCATAGTGGCGCCGCCTCCTCGGTCCGACCTCCAGGCCCTGTCCGCAGGAAGGATCCGCGGTCAGCGGGAGGCGTCTCTAGAGAGAGTTATACGTTCCCTGGGGGTCCGTTCAGAGTGAAGGGAGGGGCCGCGAACATCCTCTTCCATCTCTTTTAGTTTCCAATTAAACCCAGACGAAGTGAGCGGCGGGTCCCACATCACAGGCTGGCACTGCGGGGGAGGGAGCCGCGGCCGGGGGTGGTGGGGGGAAGGCTGGAGGATAAAATACACTACAGCGATGACAAAAGTCATCCACAGTTGTTTGAGCAGGTGTGTGCCAGGTGCTGTTCTAGGCGTTTGCAGGGACTAGCTCGTCTTGGGTCCTCACAGTAACTCTACGCGCTTGGTACCATTGTACTATTATCCCCATTTTATGGATAAAGAAACTGAGATTTAGAGGGATTAAATAATTTCCAAGAGGCTTCACAGTCAGGAATTGGTTTGCCTTCCTGGATTTGAATCCTGACTCCATCCCTTAGTGGCTGTGTGGTCCTGGGTAAGTCACTTAACCTTTCTGTGTGTTGGTCTGGTTTTCTCTCTTCAATGGGAATAAAACAGTATCTTGTTCACAGGGTTTTGAGAGAATCAGGTATGAAGGAAACAGATGCAGGTCCAGTCAGAGGTTTTCTTCCCCTTTTCTCTGCTCCTACAGCTCCAGGACTGAATTTTTCAAGTTTTAAATGTGGCGGGAAGGGCTTGTTTCAGGGCAGATACTGGCGCACACTATTTCTCCCTTTGAGTTTGCTGTTTACTTGCCTAAGGTTCTTAGAAGCGCTGGCACCCAGCCTGACTCACTTCGGCCAGCCCAGGGCTGAACACCAATAGGAAGGTCCCTGCTCAATGAGTGCAGAAGCCAACGCCCAGACCGGAGGGACTGGAAGGCCTCCCCAGCCACAGGCGCAGCCCAGCATCTGTTTTGCAGGCTCCCTCCTTGACTTCCCACCCAGCACCTCAGCCAGCCTGGTGAGGGATTCAGACTCCTGGAATTCTCTCCCCAGTCAGCCACTGTCTGGGGAGTCCTCCATCTTCCAAACACTGGGCCTCAGTTACCTCATCTGGGAAATGAGTCTACTAGGGCTGGCTGCAAAGATTAGAAGTATTGCAATATCCTTCACAGCTTATGAGAGTCGATCCAGAAGAGTGGTATCCCCCAAAGAGTAAAGTACCCCCCCATAATTTTTATCATTCACCCCAGTTTCTCTCTGGGGGAAATGGTACTTGCTATGTGAGTGTTACTTCAAGACAGGGGTCCGGCCCTCCTTTTCCCCCACCTAGGTGGGAGTTTTTGGCTGAATTTCTTTTTTGGAAATCCTGTAGAGACCTCAGATAGGCTCCCCAGCCCCAGAGACTGCTGATAGAACCTGGACGGGCGGGGGCGCCTAGTTCTGGGGCCACCTGGGATGCCAGCCAAACTGCCACCAGCTATCTCGGCTCGGCTTCCGGAGCTGAGCAGGAAGTTCCATTCCCAGATACCCTCCCTTGGGCCCTCCAGGGCAGTTATGAAGGCTATGGACTGTGCCAGCCAAGCCTCCAGGGAGCTAGCCCTGTCACCTGTCCAATATCAGGCATCTGACCCTACAATTCACCCGGGGCTGTGCCTGAGTCCCCAGACTTTCCGAATGGCCTGGTCACTTCCTGTTGTTCTGAGAAGCTTTGAGCTGAAACTGGCACAGGGTTTGAAGTCTCCTAGGGCAACTCCTGTCAAGGGACCAAAGGAGGAATGTGGTCCAGAGAAGGAGTGTGACCTGCTAGAGACCACCCCACTAGGAGAGGGGAGGGCAGACTCATGAGCATCAGGCCTGGGCTGGCACCTGGGAAGAGGTTCACCTTTGTCACGAGATGGTTGTAAGAACTAATCAAGACAGCAGTGTAAGGTACCTGACATCATTACTGGTACACAGTAGGTCCTCGATAAATGGTTAGCCCCCTCCCCTTCCCCTTCCTCTAAACTCCTTAAAGACAAACCCATGATCATCTTGCTGCCAACTCCCTGTATAATCTAGCACCCATGGGATGCACACAGTAGGTGCTTCATAAAACCTCAAGTGGGAGGAGATGCTGAGCTCAGGATTCAAGAGTAGAGGTTTTAGCCTCCAGCCAACTTGGGATTGAATCCTGGCACCTACAATTACAAGATGGGTGTTCTTGGACAAGTGAGCTACCCTCTTGATACGTCCATTTCCTCTTCTGTAAATTGGGAATAATAACAGTGTCCACCTCTCAGGATGGATGTGAGGAGGGGATGAAATAAATGTCAGATGTTTTGCACAGCTTCATATACAGCAAGTGCTCAAAAAGTGTCATGGCCATTGTGGGATGTCCTGAACCCATTACTGTGCCTGACACTGAGCCCACTAGGTGGCTGAGCTCTGAGGCTGGGTCATGAAGATGTGGTCAGGGTGGAGTGCCAGGCCCAGCCCTGAATTCCAGGGATGGATGGAGCGGCCACACCTCAGGAACCAGTGTGGCTCTTGGTTGCTTAGCTGGGGGAATCTGGGGGTTTGCATCCCAGCTGAGAAATGTTCTAGAGACACCACAGAATCCTGTGCTCTGATGAGCCCCACTATCCGGCCTGGCTGAGCCCTGCCCCCGACCCTTTCATCTGTGATGCCAGGCTCAGCACCCAGGGAGAGCTCACAGACACGGAGTGGAGAGGACTCCTACCATCAGAGCAGGGCCAGGCCTGGGCACCTGCAGGTGGCCGGGTCACAGAGCCGAAAGTGCCTGTGTCTCACCATGCTGGACTCTCAGTTCATGCTACTTTTTTCTTTTTTTGGAGAGCCAGTTTAACAACACACCCCTGGGCATGAGATTCCCTAGATGCATAGCCTTCTAGGCACCACTCACAAATCTAACACTCTTAAGATGTTACTCATATCTGCTATCCTACCCCAACATGGTCCTTCCCCTCTCAGTTCCTTCTATCAGAAAAACCGTTACATTCCTTTTTCTACCTGTTTCCTTGTTTAAGTCCTTCTAATACAATTGAATAAAGATAAAGAGGGGTGGTGGATAAAGTACAGACAGTGTTAATATCAATGTCATGGAATACTATATAGCTGTAAAAAATGTGTGTATGAGTGTGTGTGTGTATATAAAATATTATTTTTCTTCAGCAGATATGTATTGAGCACCAACTGTGTACTAGGCAGTAGGGATACAGTGGGAATAAGATGGCCCAGCCCTGTTCCGCTGGGGCTCTGGGTAGAGAGGGAAACCAGACAAAAGTAACTGGCAGCTAAAGAATTTACTCTCAGTAGGAAGTCGGCAGTGATATGTAGACAGTGAAGCAGGCATCAGGGTAGAGCTGAAGCTGGAGGCTTTCTTAAGACATGGTGGCACGTGCTGCTTTTATATTCACAAAATAATTTGTGTTCCCTCAGGTTTCTGAAAGCTGCCTCTGCTTCCCAGCTTGGCTTCCATGAAGCCCTGGAAGATAGATGGCCAGGAAGGCAGAGATGACCACCCCCCACCAGCCCCATCACTGCCTCTGTTGGGTGACCTTGGTCTCTTGTTCCCTTGTTTGGTGGTGATTTACATGTTCTTCTTATCTCCTAAATGTCAGGGACAATGTCTGATTCATGCCTTGCCTCCCACACCATCTGGCACATAAGAAAGACTGAAAACACACTCTTGGGGTTCAATAGAATTCAGTTCCCCTCCAGGGCTGGAATCTGCCTCTCTCATTATGATAATCATATAATTTTTTACTTCCTTTCTCCCTATGGTGCCTAGGATGGCTGCTTAATAATTGCCAACTCACCAGTGCTCAGCTACACCTCCACCCCCAAACCAGGAGGTAGACCCCTCCTCTGGCTCCACAGACCTGTCTCTAGACCTTAGCTTCCCCTCCTGGGAAGTGGCACTATCCCTTCTAAGGCCAAGATCAGGGCAAAGCAGACGAGCCTCAGCCCAGATTGGAGGGTGAGGAACATGTTCTTTGTCTCGGGAACACAAAGCCCCATTTGTGATCACTGGGCACGATTCTGGGCAGGCAGCCACGAGGGACAGGAGGCAGAGGTGGGAGGAGTGGGCAGGATTTCCAAAACCCCCTCCTGCAGGCTTACTGCCGAGGAAGCAAAAAGTCCCCTCCTCCCACGGCCTGAAAACAAGGTGTCTGTCTGTCAGTCTGCATCCCTGCTTCCTCCTTCCTCTGCCCTACTCAACGTGACCCCTCCTTGCCCCCGCCATGGAATGGAGAAGTAGGAAGCAGGAAACCATCCAAGCGTGAGACTTGGAGGTGGGGGTGGGAGAGTGGATATTTCCAGAGCTGTGGGTTTGAGGTCAAGGGCAAGGTTAGCTGAGAAGTTGTATACTGTTGTCATTCATCTGTCCCACCCTACCCATTCCCCAGAACACCAGGACAGAGAGAGGTGGGAGTCTGGGACCTCTGCCTCAGCAACACCGCAGGGGAGCCCCAAGAGGAGTATGAGCAACACTCCATTTAACAGAGGAGAATGCTGAGGTCTGGGGGGTGGATTAGCTGGCTGCAGAGCTAAAGCCACAGCTCCAGCCTTCTGAAGACAAACTGTATAGGGACCTTCTCTCTGCCATGACAGTCCCAAGGCAGGGCTGGGTTGAGTTATCTCTATATAAACACCAGGGCCCATCATTGCTCAGCCTTGTGTACTTGGAAGAGTCACTTAACTCCCCTGGGCTTCTTGTAGCATAGGTCTGGCCTCTCCTTGCCCATAGCCAGTCCTGAGACATCCCATCATCTTTGAATTCTGCATAGCAACCCACAGACCTTTGTCCTCTTCTGGAAGGGGGCCACATCCTCCTGCCTCAAGCCCTTCACACATGTTCCCTCTATTTGGAATACACTTCCTCTCCTCTACTCGCTCCTCAGCCTTCAGGTTTGGGTTCACCCATCACTTCCTCTAGGAGGCCTCCCTGTCCCCATCCTTGTCCTCTAGACTTCTCCCCCAACCCTATCAAAATGTTCCGACATATTTGCACAGTTATGTGATTCATTGGCCTCCCTATTAGTCTGTAAGGCCCATGAAGTCAGGTTTTGTTTTATCCACTGCTGTATCCTCACACAGCACATAGTAGGTGCTCAATACACATTTGCAAAAAACCACCTCTAAAGGAATAGAAATTCAGAAGGGAAGGATGCATACCAGCTTCAAGGTGATGGCCCCCTCTGGGAAGGGAAGGAGGGAACTGTTGGGGAAGGGAAGATGAAGTACACGGAGAAAAAACTGCCCAGGGGGTCCCACGTGAAGACAACAAAGGCTTTGCAGGGAGATAACTTCTCACCTATCAGGACCAGGCCAAACTGATCCCAGCACGGGTGCAATCGAACAAAACAAGAACTGCCCAAACCACACCTCCTCGTAATCTTATTAAAATAAAATTGCGGTTTTGCTCCCCCACCCTGCCATGGGTTTTCCTGTGTGCATTTTGGGGAAAGACTTGTGCACCAAGAGGACTGGGTGTATAATTAGAGCTGTCAATCAAATGACCTTCCCTGGGCAATCAGAGAAGTACCTCCCAGCTAGGTCTTGATAAATAGGCCCTCCCCTAAAAGTTCAGGGCATTCATTTATCTGGACACTGGCCCACTCCTCCCTTAGAGTGTATTCAAATAAAACTTCGGCTCTGCTTTACTGTTGTGTCTCTGCCTTTCAGTTACTTGTTGCAGCGGGGACAGGAACCAAGGAGAACAAACTCAACCCATAACGCAACGGGCCTGAGGAGGGAAATATCCAAGAAGGCTCCACTCTGTCTACAGTGCTGTGCTTAAGAGGGTGGATCCCCACCCAGATAGCCTGAGTTCAAATCCCATCCTAGTCTTGATACCAAAAGCACAATGCATAAAGGAAATGTGTTAAATTGGACCTTACTGGAATTTAAGACTCTGCTTTGTAAAAGACCATGTGAAAATGATGAAAAGACAAGCTACAGACTGGGAGAAAACATCTGACAGAGAACTATCTGGAACATCTAGACTTGAATGGAAAAGTCTTAATACTGTACAGTTAAAAAAACAATCCAATTAAAATATAGGTAACACACATGAACAGATATTTTGCTGAAGAGGATATACAGATGGCAAATAAGCACATGAAAAGATGTTCATCATCATTAGACGCAGAGAAATGCCAAGCAAAATCATAATGAGATATCACGAGACACTTATCAGAGTAGCTAAAACAAAAAGTAATGATACCAGCAAGGATGCAGAAAAATGGCATCACTACTCATACGTTGCTGGTGGGGATATAAAATCTTACAGCCATTCTGGAAAAGAATTTGGCAATTTCCTTCAAAAGCTAGACATCTACTTACCATGTGACCCAGCCATTGCATTCTTGGGTATCTATACCAGAGAAATGAGGACTTATGTTCCCACTAAAACCAGAACATGACTCTTCATAGTAGCTTCATTCATAATAGCCAAAAATTGGAAACAACCCAAATGTCCTTCAACCTGAATAGTTAAACAAACTGTGGTCCATCCATACCTTGGACTCAGCAATCAAAAAGAATGAACACTGATACATGTGACTACCAGGATGGATGGATGGATCGCAAGAAAATTATGCAGAGTGAGAAAAGCTCATCTCAAAGGTTATATACTGTAGGATTCCACTTATATAACATCCTTGACATGACAAAACTATACAGATGGAAATTCCATGAGAGGCTGGGGGGTGGTAGGTAAGGAGGTGGGAGGGAAAGGGTGGCTGTGGTTATGAAAAGACAGCACCAGGGATCCTTGACATGAAGGTTCTTGTGTGGTGGTCACACAAGTCTACATGTGATAAAATTGCATAGAACTAAATATACACAGTCATACAAATGAGTGCATGTAAAAGTGTGGAATGTGAGTCAGTCTGTAGATTGTATCATAGCCAATCTCTAGTTATGATATTTGCTGAGATTGTGTAAGATGTTACCACTGGGGGACCCTGGGTGCAAGGGATATGGGATGTCTCTGTATTATTTCGTACAACTGCATGTGAATCTACAACAATCTCTAAATGAAAAAGTAATCCATGCAGCTCCAACATCTATTAGAATGACTTTAAAAAAAACCTGACAATACCAACTTCTGGTAAGGATGTGGAGCAATTCGAACTCTCATACTTTGCTAGTGGGAATATAAAAAAAAGCAGGTACAGCCGCTTTGAAGAACAGTCTGCAATGTTTTATACAGTTACATGTACACTTACCATATGACCCAGTAATCCTACTCCCACATATTTACAGGAGTGAAATAAAAGCTTTATGTTCACATACAAAAAACTACACGTGCACACAGGCTATATTTATAATTGCGCAGAGCTAGAAATAACCCAACTGAAGAAAGAATAAAAAAAACTATAGTATACAATCAAATACTACTCAGCAATGAAAAAGAATGAAGGGCCAATAAACACATCAGCATGAATGAGTCTCAAATGAGCATTGCTGGATGAAAGGCCAGACTCAAAAGACTACATGGCAAAGTATATAATTCCATTTATGATGTTCTAGAAAAGGCAAAACTACAGGGTCAGAGAACGGGTGATTGGTGGCCAGGGCCAGGTGGGGACAAGGTTGATTACAAAGGGTCAGGAGGACTTTCTAGGGGGATGGAGATGCTTTGCATCTTGACTGTGGTGGTGGCAACATAACCACGTGTTTGCCAAAACCCATAGAACTGTACATGAAGAAAATGAATTTTACTTTGGGTAAATTATACCTCAATATTTTTAAATCAAGAAAAAATTAGACCATAGATCTTGTAACTTCTCGTGAAATTACACAGATAGTATGTGCAATTTAATACAAAATGCGCAAAGATGAAATGTACATTATTTTAGGTCCATTTTTTAAAAATATGCACTAACAAAATGCTCAGACATTGTCTTATGCACTGGAGGCATTACAGGTAACCATAGGTTTTTATGTTAACATTACTCTACAATATGAAAATACATTTCTTATATGAAAAAGTACATTACTTAAAACAGAAAAATAAAACTATCAGAAGCAGAGATGACAAGACTCTAGTGTTTATTTCCATGGAGGATCCATGGGTATTTGGACTCTGAGTCCTTTTCCTGCATATCACCCCCTGCAATGCTGTTTTAAGGATTAGATTAGATACTACATGTAGATACTTCCCACAGTGTCTGAGCCACAGTAACTGCTCAAACTGTGTCAGCTCCTGCCCTACCTCATCGTCCCTATCCAGATCCTGGTTTCCTTCCAAGCTGGTCTCATGGCCCCTCTGTATCTCCCAAACCAGGCTGGGGGCTCAGTGACACATAGCCAAGGTAGTCCCATCCCCAGCAAAGGGAGGGGGCCTCAAGGAGTTGGAACATAGGAAGCTCTCAGCCCTTGCTAGAGAGTGAATGACTGTGCCGGGACCTGACAAACAGTGGGTGCTCAGTAATTATTCTTTTGAGCAGACAACTGAGCATACAGCCATACCAGAGAGTTCCTTCCCACCCAGCCTGGAAGAGGCTTGGCCAGACATGGGCACAAGGGGGTAAACTCTTGGCCATGTCCTCTCTACTGCACCCTAGTTCAGACTGGGAATTAAAGCCTTTTCTGGAAGGGGCAGAAGCTGCCCCTGCAGCCCCCTCCTTTCCCCTCCCAGGGCGGGTTCCCCTGGCCTCCGCTGGCAGTGGAATGTTGTGTCGTTGGTTGCCTGGGCAACCAAGGCCTGCGTCATGGCTGCCTTCTGGGAGTACTGAGCACACTGTGGCACCACCCTCCATCAGGAGCCCCCCGGGGGCCTCCTAGCCTAGTGCAAAACCATCTGGAAAATGGCAGTGCCCTGGGAGGAGTATTTTCAACTGGCCTTGCAAGAGAAACTGCCTATGTGAGTGGCAGGGAGGGCTGGGAGGGCTGGGAGGGGGTCAGGAGGTGGGGTGGCCCATCGCTTTTCCCCACCCCCGGGACCTGGCTTCCTTGGACAGTTCCTGGTAGGGGATTATTGCCCCCATTTCATGGAGGAAGAAACTGAGTCTCAGAAAGAAATGGCGATTTCCCTAAGTTAGGGCAGTTAGGGCAGAGCTAGTTAGGGCAGAGCTGGGCCCAGCTCTCGAATCTGTTCCTGATCTCCACCTGTGGCTGACATCCAGCCAGAGATTAAATCTTTGGCATTTAGGTGGGAAGGAATTACTCCGTGAACTCTTGCCCTCCTCCCTGCAAACTGCACTTTAAAGGAAGAGTGGAGGAAATTGTCCCGTGCCTGCTTTGGGGTCAGCAGTGTGAACAAGGATCCCAAACCAGTCTTAGAATCTGTAAAAGGAGAGGGATTCCTCCAGGCCAGGGATAGAAAGCCCCACCAGATGGAATGTTGGGGCATCTGTTCCGCTCCCTGGCCAGCCGGCCCTATGGGGCTGTGTGCTCCCCTGACCACCTGGCTCCAGACCCCAGCCTCCTCCCAGACCCCTCCTGCAGAGGTCTAATGGGCATCTCCGTCTCAGCTTGGCCATAGCAAGGAGCTGACCTCTGCACCATCTCAACCTTCCATCAGCAATCCTTCCCACTAAAGTTCCCCTTTGGCTCCTGACTCCCTTCTCACCAACCCTGCCATCAGCTCCGATCTCAACCTGCGGCCAGAACCTACCCCCCTCTCACCTCCCCTACAACCACCCTGATCAAAACCCCATTATCTCAGGGTAACTCCACCATCACTGTCTCCTGCAGCTGCCCTGCCCCTGCTGCTGTCCTTGTTCCCCATGGCAGCAGGAGGAACCCCTCCTCTGCTCAAATCCCTCCCTCCCCCATGGTCCTCCTCAGTCTGACCCTCACAATTTCTCTCATCTCAATTTCCATCTCTCCCCTCCTTCAAGCTTCCTCCTTCCTCTCCAGTTACATGGCCTCCTCAAGCTCCTTCCACTTGAGGAGTAGAGGCCTTGGCATTGGCTGTTTCCTGGACCTAGAATCTGTTCCTTGCAGAGATCCACACACTTTCTCCTTCTTCCCCTTAGAAAGACTTTTCAACTTCCCTATTGAAAGATATTTTTTGTCTGCTTAATTTTTCTTCTTAGCACCTACCATGTACTATCATTGTTTATTATTATTTGCTAGCTTTATTTTTGTGGCCCCCACCCCCAGAGGAATGCCAGCTCCTGGAGGGCAGGGATTTTCCTGTGTCTCTCACAGCTGCAACCCAGTGCCTAGAACAGTGCCTGGCACAGAGTAGGTGCTCAGTGCAATTGTTGTAAGAAGGAATAATTCAACCGCTAGTGGGGGCTAGTGGGAGCATTTCGGGTACTAGTGGGGAGTTTTGGGGCCCTGACGCTTGTCTCCTTCACTCCTACCTCCTCCTTGAAACCCTCCAGGAAGATCCCGGAGCAGACTGAGGTCCACTTCCCACCGGTGCTGCATCTCCTGGAAAGGAGGCAAGAGCTAATGGATGCAGATCGGGACCTGCGGGCCCAGAAGGAGGTGAGTCCCCACTGCAGTCCCTGAGACTTTTTGGCTCTCATTGGAAAATAAATGGTAGTGAGCAGTGCGATGGGACTTATTAGCTACAAGGTCTGAGACAAGTCATTTCACCACTCTGAACCATGATTTCCCCATCTGTCAAATGGGGATCAAATAAGATGAGTTGTTGGTGCAAATAAATGTGCCCTGAGCACCTACTGTGTCTAGAGGTCTCACCGCAATTCCACCCTCATGGGTCTAACAGTCTAGAGAAGGCACCATGCAAGTGTCCACGTGATGACTGCTATGAGGAGGAAAGCACTGAGAAGGGGCTGTGGGAGCCCAGAGAAAACTCCTGTCTCTGCATGAGGGTGGTCAAGGAGGGCTTTCTGGAGGAAGTGACATCTTAGGGATTGCTGAAGGGCAAGTCAGCTTATTCAGCAAATGGGCAGTGGGTAAGGTGGGAAAAACAGGCAGATGGAACAGCATATGCAAAGACTGGAATCAAGGACAAAACAGATGGTCAAGGGGCTGGAAGACAGTGTCGGAGTGTAAGAAGAGGCTGGAAAGAAGGGCAAGGATCTGCTGAGCGGAGACTGCAGAGACATCTGGCCTTCGTCAGCAGTGGTGGGAACCATGGGTGGATTTGAGCAGGGGTGCAGGGCAAGATCAGGGACAACAGATGAGAGAGGTCAGGAGTAAACTTGGCGGGGTTGGATGACTAGAACCCCCAAACACCGCCCCCACTCCTCACTCCCCAGGTGTTCCAGACCATGATGGCAGCTCGGAAACAGCGCTGGGAACAGCTGGAACAGAAGGAGCAGGAGCTAACGGGGTCCTTTGTCCGCTTTGATAAGTTCTTGCAGGTAGGTGGGCACTGGTGTCAGGAAGGCAGGTCATGGGGCACATTAAAAATCCTATAGGGGTCAGACGGGTAGAGAAATTTTAAAGGTGGGCTTACTAATACAAAGGGAGTTGTGGGCAACACAAGCGCACTGCCTAAAGAATTCTAATTTTTTAAAGAGTGGATGAGCAAAATTAACTAAAACCAGAGATTCTGGCTGAATTTGGCTCATAGGCCACCTGTTTGCTACCCCTGGCTCAATGTGCAAAAGTTGGGGACGGGGAGGAAGCGGCGCCCAAGTCCTGAGGTTGTCGCTTCTTCTCCATCCCCTGCCCCAGGACGCCGAGGCCCGGCGCAGCCGCGCGCTGCAGAGGGCGGCGGAGGAGCGGCACCGGGCGGGCCGCCAGGAGGCCGAGGCGAAGCGGCTTCAGGCCCAGCTCGAGGAGTTGCAGGGGGAGCGCGCGCGGCTGCAGCGCCGGCTGGAGGGCCTGGAGCCCTGCGCGCGCCTCCTGGGGCAAGCGCTGGAGCAGCTGCCTGAGGTGAGCGCCAGGCAGGTTTTGGGAGCTCAGCGCTGAGTAGCCTCAGGGTCTGCTTTAGAACTGTGCACTGCTAACGATATGCCAGGAATCACCCCTTATGAACACTAGGTGTATGCCAGGGACACGCTTTGTTCTTGAATTTACCCCAAGGTCCAGTGAGATGGGTCCTCTTATTGTCAACCCCATTTTGCAGACGGGGAAACTGAGGCTCAGAATGGTAACTCTTACTCAAGAACACCCAGGCAGGTGTGTGTGAGGGTGGGGAGGGACCCTGGCACTCAGTAAATATTGGTTGAATGAAACAATTAAATGTTAATCACAGGCACTGGTACTTAACTAGGCTTGAGAGTGGAGGTAGGAGGGGTGGGGTAATCCTTACTTCTAGGGCAGGGGCCCTGCTCTGCTCCCATTTTACCATTGGGCTAACTGTGGAGACGCCGCAGGGCCAGTGGCGTGGGGAGCGCCGGGGCTGCAGGCCCAGGTGAGTCACCTGCCTACCCCCTCCCAGTTCCAGGAGGTCCCCGAGCTGGTGGCGCGCTTCGACGGCCTGGCCAACACGCAGGCGGTGCTGAGGCTCTCGGAGCGTCGGCGGCTCACGGAGCTGGAGGAGGCCGGCGCACAGCTGCACCGGCTGCGGGATGCCTGGCAGGAGGAGCTGCTTCAGCTGGGCCAGCAGCGAGCGCAGCTGGTGGAGCGCCTGGAGGCGGCGCGGGAGCACACGCTGCACGCGGTACGCCTGGCCAGCTGGGAGGAGGCGGGCGCACAGGACCCCAGCCTCCCATCACCAGAGAGGGATGCAGGAGTGATTAAGCACATAATTTCCCAAGAGATGCAGTGCAGCTGCACAGTGGGCAAATCCAGGTATCAGAAAGCGCTGAAGAGCCTCAGAGGCCAGTCCTAACAGAACGCAAAAACTCGGTTCCTGCACCCCTACCGGCAGAGCACCCAGAGCCTTTGGGGACATCTGATGGCTGGAAGTGGATGGGAGAGAAGCCCCAGTCCAACTCCAGCCAGCTCACACCTTAATTGGGAAGGTGGGGGGTGTTCCCCAGGAATCCAAGTGGATTCAGATCCAGAACACAGCAGCTGAGAAGACACTGCTCCTGGGAAGCGCTAGAATGGCAGCTCTCAACCTGTTCCAGCTAGTGTGCCAGCATCAGAGACAGCCACCTACCCTGGACATCGAGGATACTGAGGGCCAGCTGGAGCAGGTGAGGTCCACTCTTTATGTCAGCTCCAGCCCCCAAAACTTTGGGAGCATCAGGGTGCTTGAAACCTCACCTCCTCTGGGTTAAGAATGAGACCAGTGTCCATGCCCCAAGCACCACACATGTGGGCTGGAGGGTTACCAGGCCCCTGCCTACGAGTCCTGGGTTGGTCTTGGCTGTCAGTCATTTGCTGTGTGTACAGAAGGAAGCCACAGCCCTCTCTGGGTCTGTGTTCTTGTGTAGGAGGGCTGGGGTGTATACTCACAGACACTGCGCACTTATGGCAAGAGTCCTTCTTTTGTCCCAGGATCAAACAGCAGACACAAGGGACACCAGTAAGAAACCAGGTCAACACTCACCTTTAATTAATCCCTGGCCCTTGCTCCCTACATGGACCTGGTAAGGGCCAGAGCTGGGTTGTATATAGTCTTTCTTTCTAGTGTCACAAATGTCACTGTGCACTGAGCCCACCCAGCTTTTCTGTTCATTCAGGTGTGCAAGGTTGTAGACCATGTGACATACATTTACAGCAGAGGAGGGAGTTTGTAACTTCTGACACTGCTTTTGTCTCCGGGGGAACGGAGAGTAGGTCATACAGCAGTGAATATGACTGATCCAATTAGAAGGGGTTAAAAGTGAATCAATGTAAGTAAAAATACAAATCTAATTATAATACAGGTGATAGCCAGCGAGAACACTGCTGACGAATGAATCATTTGGGAGGCTGGACTGAATCTCGAAAAACCCAGAACGGCTTAGGTCAAGTTTGCTGCCCCTGAGCACCAACACTGCTGTCTTTTAAGAGGGGTTTCTACTCCCCACCCCTGCTTTACAGCATCCTGGGTGTTGTGGGGGTGGGACTGGTCACTCAGGGGCTGTGATGTGACTCTGTGTTGGGGACCCCCAGGTGAAGCTGTTCATCCTGGAGCGCTCCGCCATACTGGCCAGCCTTCGTCATGAGGCCTGAGCAAGGTAAGCAGTGGGAAAGGAGGCCCCCTTGAGGGGCCTGGCCGCTGGACAAGTGTGCATTTCCTGGGCTGCCGGCCAAGTGGCTCTCACCTAAAAGCTGGGAGTGCTGTGGCCACTCAGATTGCTGTAGGGAGCACATGAGGTGTACACAGCAAGTACTAAATAAATGTGGGCTGCATGGGACACTGATCCCTCACCCAACATGTGGCCTGGGTCCACGTCCTCCCTCCCTCAGGGCAGCTGATGTTTGTCAGGTGCTTGGAATGGGGCCTGGTGCAAATTCTAGTGAATTCTAGATAGTGTTTTTTAAGTAAATAAATAGGACCAGCAAGGGGCTCACATAGCTGACACCTGTTCATGGGTATCTGCTCACAAAGGCTCCTGCATAGTGGACTGCTGAGAGCTACTGGAGGCCATCCCTGACCTTCCGAGGACCCCACACGGGGCTAAGGCACACAGGGCTCAGAGCAGGACAGAGGCCAGGACAGGTTCTGCCCCCTGGGTGTGTGGTAGGGCAGTGTTAACCTCCTGACAGCCAGGGAGGAGCAGCTGTGCCCTCGGCCCCCAGGCCCCGCATCCCATCTCCAGCCCACAGTCCACTCCCAGCTGAAGCCCATCCCTGACTGCCAGCTTTGGGCTTCGCCCACCTCAGGCAACGGACCTGTCCTCTAAGCCTCATTTCCTCACCTGCAAATGGAGACACCAACAGAACTCACTCTCAGGGCATCACATGGGACTGGCCACATGCTCTCAACTCACCCAGCACACTAGCTAGGATTTCAGTAGCTGGGTCTGTCCCTTCTAATTCCTTGAGTAAACTGTGCTCCTGGTCTACTAGAGGTGCTCAGTAAAGGTTTATTACATTAAAAATAACATCAGTGGGCCTTAGGCACTCAGAGCTCAGACTTGAGTGGCCACCACCTCTAAACCCAGAACATGTGGAAGCAGCAGCAGCCAAGTTGCCAGCTCATGTCCTGACCTACCTGGCCATGCTGGCAAACTCCTGTGCACCCTTCAAGACCCCGCTCAAACATGTTTTAGGCAGAGGTGGCTGCTGGCTCTCTGAGGCCCCACCCACTCCTTTTTGTGGAGGAGGCTCTGCAGGGAGCTCCTCCAGTGCCCAGCACAGGGCCAGGCACAGTGATACACAGGGAGCAGTTGCTAATGTCCTAATGGGACGAAACGAGGAGCTGTGGGGCTGGGTCACTTCCTTACATCCTCTTCCTCATCTTGCCCTTCTTGGAGTGGGCGCCCCGGCCGAAGGCGCCCTGCTGCAGCTCCTGGACACGGCGCCGATTACGGGCAGAGAGCTGCTTGAGGCCTCCACGCTGCAGGAAGCGCAGCTTTTGGGCTCGGCGCCGCTGCTTCAGGATCTGCTGCTTGGTCTTGAGCTCGGCGCAGACACGGCCTGCAGGGGCACCTGGAGTGTGGGGCTGGGATGCACCTGTCAGGACAGGGATTCAGGGAGCTCAGCCTTTGGGTCACTTCCCGGTGTCTCCTCCTCCAGACTGCCGCCCTGCCCCATTCTCTGTTCATCGCTGTGGCCACATCATCTGGCTCATTTTGGTAAAGCTTAAGTCTATTATACTGTACTAATCAATAGCATGGAACCTCAAGGCAAAACTGCAGGGGTTCAAACCCCAGCTGTGATCTCTTGGATCCTGGGCAAGTCATGTACATTTTTGTGCCTCAGTTTCCCCTTCTGTAAATTATGAATAGCATCTACCGCCAGGGTCTTAATGAGGAATAAATGAGTTTATTTACATGTGTACAGTGTTCAGAACAGGGCACAGCCCATAAAGGTCTGCTAAGCGACTCAACAAAGGTTTACTGAGCACTGCTCCATGCTGGGTACTAGAGGCCCAGCAGTGAATCCTTGTCTCAGTGCACTGAATGTTCTATGCTTCTTAGGTGAAAAAAGATGTAGCTTAACCTTCCTTTGGCAGGAGAGAAAGCAAAGGAGGCCAGAGAGGGAAGGGACTTGTCCAAGGTCACACAGTAAAATGAAGCAGAGCAGGCCCCCAACACACCTATTCCCGAAGGTCTCTGGGAGGCTACTCACCCCCACTGCCTCCCCACTAAGCCCTGTGTCCCCATCTTCTGTGCGCCCCCCACCACCCAGCTCCTCCCTCCCCAGAGCAGTGATCTATGCAGGGCTGCCGGCGACAGTCCTTCAGGGGGCCCCAGATTCTCCATAGGGGCCACAGCGCCTAATGGGACACATCACCTCCAATGAGGACAAAGCACAGGGAAGACCAGATGCCCCAGGCCCAGCGAGCCCATGGGAGCCTGTCCCATGGCCGGTTGGATCAGGGGCTGAGAAGCAAGGGCCGAGAGGACCCCAGGGAGGCAGGGACACATCCACAGGGACAGAGACAAAGTGGGAGAGACACACAGAAACAAAGGCTGGAGATGTATGTGTGGGGAGAGACAAAAACAGTGAGAGAGATGGACAGAAGAGAAGAGACAGAAAAAGAGGCGAGGAGAGAGTGAGGGATGAGGGATGAGGGACAAAGTCAGAGATGGGAAGAGAGACGGGGACCTGGAGAGTGAGAGGGTGGACGCATCACAGGAAGCCAGACAGAAGCAGAGCCCCTGAGGACAAACAGGAGCGTCAGAGGAGAGCCCACAGACCCAGGAGGCCTCCCAGAGCATACATGGGGGTGAGGGTGGCCTCAGGAAGGAGCCGTGGGAACCAGCGGACAGACAGCCAAGGGGCAGTGACCAGCCCTGTGCGGCGGGGGGAGACCCCAGGGGTAGGTGGCAGGCACTGAGGGGCCCAGGTCAGGCCAAAGAGCCAAGTCCCCGGGTGACCAATGGACCACTTGCCAGCCTGTTTTGAGGACCACCCTACCTTGGCCTTGGCCCCACCTGCCCCCTCTTCGCGCAGGGCGTTGCAGGTTGGATGCCCCTTCCTCCTCTGAGTCACGATCGTCTATCTTCTGTTTCTGTTTCCACTTCTGGTAGCTGGGAAGCCGTGTTAAGGAGGCTGCGTGTGGCATTGTGACGCTCTTGACACCCGTGGCCCAGGAGCAGGCCGCACCTCTAGGGGACACGCGGTAGAAGCGGGGCAACCCCGCCCTGGCCCCGCCCCCTCTGGATACAGGTCCCGCTTGTAGGAGCTGCTGATGTAGTGGCCACTCTCCGTCTTGATCTTCTTCTTGTCGCCCTGTCCCGACTGTCCCACAAACCGCTTCTTCTTCCGGTCCCTGCAAGAGAGGGCGTTGGAGGGCTGCCCCAGAGGGTGGTGGCCTGGGACAACTGGCTTCCTCTCTGGCCGTTTCCACCCTTGACCCTCTCATTGGATTATTGGAGGATTTAAGGAAAGCAGTGTGCCCATGTGGCACGCAGCAGGTGCTCAATAAAGCCCCGTTCCCTGCCCCTCCTCACCTTTTCCTGGCAGCCTGATCTTAGGCAGCAGTGTGGGGGTCACCAGGAGTCGGGGGGCCCTGTGGTAGGGCCATGGGCCCCACGGAGGGTTCCCAATCCCACTCTGCTACCTCCAGACCCTGGGACTCTGGGTTGAGTCGTGCCAATTCGCTGGAACCAGAGTCCAAATGGGCAAAATGGGTCATGAGCTGCATCTTCGAAAGACTAGTCAGCAAACAGGACAGACGGGGTAAAGATTCCTGTCTGCACAATCAAATAAAGCAGACAGGCTGGAGGGGAGGTGTCATCATAACTGCTGTGTGTGATCACACGGGGACAGGACAGGGTGGGGGACATAATCTGCTGTGCAGGATCAAATGAGGGGTGGGGGTGGATGGGCCTCCTGCTCTAGGGGATCAAACGGGAGTCAGCGCAGGCAGGGGGGTCTCATGGCTGTGTGGGGGACTAAGTGGCTACAGGTGGGCACGGGAGGGGCACGTCTGCTCACTCACCACCTGAGCAGCTGCTGGCCCCTCGTCAGGTTCTGGGCTTCATCCCCCATCAGGTCCAGGACAGCACCGGCCACCTGCTGCTCAAAGGCCCCTTTGTCCCCACCAATGCTCAGGCTGCAAAAGGATAGCACAGGGTTGACAGGAGGCCCACCCGACACCACCTACCCACCCTGGGGCCTGCCAGCCACTCACCCCCGCTCGCTGTCGAAGTCCTTGGGCCTGTAGGGGACATAGAACTCCTGGTCCCTCCTCTGGGCAGCCTCCCTCCGCCTCTTGGCTCTTCGGTCAGGTTGTGGCTGCTGCCGCTTCCGGCCCATGACCTCTGTGAACACCTCCTGGCAGAGCAGGGCCAGTGTCACACCTGTAGACCTCAGGAACCCACCTGGCCTTCCACCCACCAGTCAGCTCCCAGGACTTCAAAAGCTTGCTGCTGCCATCTGACCATTTCCTCATCTACACATGCAGCACAGCCCCTGCCTCAAGCACCTGCAGAGGCACAACAGATTTTTTGGGAGGCTGGGATGCCCACTGGGGCCAGACCCACATTCTAACCCTGGCTCAGTCCTTCAGGCTGTGTGACCAAAGCAAAGCCTGCCCATCTCTGGGCCTGGTGTTGCTCTATGCTGCATGGACTAGTCCAGCCATTTTCAACTATCTTTTGGCCACTGAGCTTTCCATCCAAATCAAACCTAGAGGGATGTTACGGTGATGAGCAGGCCCAGGCCCCTCTTCCCCACCAGGCGTTCGAACAGGACATATGTGGCCCCCCAGCCATGCCTTCCAGCGTGAGGGCCCAGTGTCTCATGCTGCCTGTGTCACACCCTTGCTGCTGCCAAGGGTCCCAGCTCTGCCCCTCCTGCCATGGCCCTAAGGCTGACACTGATGGTGATGGTGATGGTGATGACAACACAGCTGCCACTGGAATCCTCCGTGTTGTCCTGAACCTGTCCAGGGAACCCGGACCATGTGCCACAGTCACTGGGCTGCAATGCCAAGCCCACAACATTCTGAAACAGACTTCCCTGAGATTCACTTGGTGGCAGAGCAGACCTGAGCTGAGGAGAGGATATCAAGCTTACGTCTATTGCCTTAGGGTGGGGACCTCCCGTGCATTTGATGGCGATGATACCCTGACCCTGCTGAGCTTCTGCGTCCTGAAACACGTCTGGCCCCCAGGATTTAAGTGAGGGATGGCAGGCGAGTACCATGGCCCCATCCTGCAGATGGGGAGGCTGAGGCTCTGATTTCCACCCCCAGAGAATGCTCAAAGCCCTGGGACAGGCCTATAGGCTGCTGGGACTTGACCCCTCCTTCCTGAAGCCCAAGCCCAGGCCCAGACTCCAGGGTCCCCGGACTGGGGCCTGTACCTCCACACTCTCTTCCATCTCCTCTGCCTCCTTCTCAGGCTGCTCCTCCTGGGGGGCTGGGCTGCCCGGGCCCTCCTGCCGCCCCTGCTGGAAGCTGGTGATGGCCTTGTGGTCCTTCTGCCTCTTGGCACGCATCACCTGGCTGCTCAGGTCCCGGCTGGAGGCATTAATCTCAAAGATGGTCTGAGGGGGAGATACCCACGTCCTTCACCACTGGTCTCCTCCCCAACTCCACCCTCACGAGCTTGGTGGGGCCTCTAAGCATTCAAGTCCTTTCAACTATACAGAGCAGGTATTTTCCTTAGCTGCATTTCATGATGAGAAAGGGCAGTTCAGAGAGGGGCAAGTAACCTGCTCAAGGCCACATAGCTGGGAGAAGCCAGAGTTGGGATTTCAACCCAGGTTTACCTGGCTCTCAAACCAATGCTCTTAAACCTCTCTAGCTCCTTCCCCAGTTCTGCCTGACAGGTCTGACTATTTCTGGGTAGGTCTTCCCTCACTTTTGCACACAGATGGGGCACCCCATGGGAGTCAAGAGATGAAAGCCAATTGAAAGCCAGCCTCTCAAGCTGCTGACAGGCCTAGGGCATGTCCCTACCCTCTGTGAGCCTCAGTCTACCCACCCATAAGTGGTAGGAAATGGTTGCCACATAGGGAACCTGCTGCGGACCAGCAGAGATGGTAACAGAGTAAGGGGTGTCTCCAGAGATGCTGACAGAGCAGAGCTACACACAGATCAGAAGCTGCCGGCTCAGAAAGTCCCTGCGGCTCTGTCAAGAGTTCTGGCACATGGTGGGCACTGAGTGACCCACGCTGTGGGCTGCCAGTCCCTGCCCAGTGTGGTCTCTGCCTGGCCCACTCACCGCCCGTGCGCGGTACTTCCTGATGCTGTCCACCATCCGCAGCTGCTGCAGCTCCTTCTCCCCGAAGCGCGAGCCTGGCAGGACGTGAGGCTTGAGGCTGGGGCTGGTTCTGCAGGGCCCGCCCGCTGCCCCACCGTGGGGACTTACTGAAGAGGGGGTGCAGGCCCAGCCCTGCCAGGTCCAGCTCCTTGGCCCTCTTGATGGACTCGGGTGAGGGCGCCGGCCGCGAACGCATGTACTGCTGCTGGGCGTTGTCGGCCACGCGGCCCAGGCCCCGCAGCTCCAGGGACACCTCCAGGGTGCTCTGCAGGCCGCTGTCCTCTTCGTCCACCACGCTCTGTGGCACCCGGCCCAGCACGCCGTCCATGCCCACCGCACCTGTCACCCCACCCAGAGCCCAGTCAGAGGCCATGCCTGCCCATGGTGCTACCTCCCCTTGCTGGCTGGTTCTGGCCCCTGCATTACAAAATAACCCCACAAAAGCAAGCACTGCTCATGGGCAGCTCCCGCGGCCAGGCACTGGAATGCGCTCCACCAGGGCTGATTTCACAGCTGCGGATGCTGGCTGCTTCCTAAGTCCAGTCTGACGGGGGCGCGGTCCAGCCTATTCATCTTGGCACTGCTAATGGCTGACTGCACAGCGAGGTTCTATAAGAAAACCTCTGCCAACCCTCACAGCACTGATGCTCCACAAAGACCCATGTCACAGATGGGAAAGCAGGCGCAGAAGACGGTGAGCTGCTTGCCCAGGGGTGCCGAACTGACAATGGCAAAGACAGGATTCAAACCCAGTCAGACTCAGTAATGGTAGCCACACATTAACACAGTTCTAAACAGTGAGAGCAGGAACAGCCACTACTGAGATGTACGAAGCACCAAGCACTGTACTTACGGCATCACCATCTCCTCATACTCACACTCAGCGTATGAGGAAAGTGCCTATTCTTTTTCTTTTTCTGGTATGTCTCAACTTCCCATTTTGGAAAATCCACAGGAGCAAAAAGAGTGTAAAGAACCCATTTCCCACCTGCGATCCCCAACATTTTGCCAATCTTGCAGGAGAGACTGATGAGCCCACCGTAGAGAGGAGGAAACTGGGGCTGCCAGAGGTTTAGAGACGCCCAGGAGCACACAGAAAGGGGCAGTATCAGAGCTCAACCCCAGCATCGAGTCAGCAGCCTGCCTGCCCCTCACCTCTGGATTAAGTCGGTCCTGGGCCATGCTGAGCCCCAGGCTGGCTTTGGGGTAAATGCAGGTGGTCTCCCACTCAGGTAACTGCCCTGGGGGGCTTCTGCTGCCCTCAGCCTGGAGGGCAGGGTCCACCTACACCTAGCTTCCCACCCACCACTCTGCCCCTGGCGCCAGGACAGGGCCAGCTTCACAGATGGGGCACCCCTGGCACCACCCTCATTCAGGCCAGCCCTCTCTGCTTCTCTCCCAGGGAAGACCCCTCTGAAAATGACCCCCACCTCCAGTGGCCTTACAGTCCCTTCCACCCAAATTGCTATCCCTTCCTGCACCCTCACACTGACAGTAAGCTGTTCCGTGTAGTCTGTGTCCAGGCACGGGGGGCCCCAGGCCATCCAGTAATCACTGCTGGCAGCCACAGCAATGGGGACTTGGGCTCTTGCAGAGCCACTTCAGCAATCTGGGTGTGGGGCTCTGGCCAGGCCCAGACCTTAGCTCCTACCTCCCTGCTGTGTGACGAGTGACTAGGTACAAGTGGCTTGGCTTTGCCTGTAAAGATACCCTCGCTAGGTTCTCAGATGGATGCCTAAAACGATGTGCGTTAAGAGCTCAGTGCACACTAGGCTCACGGACAGAGGCTTCTGTGACTGCTGCCCCCCTCTGCGGGTGATCACACCCCACACAGTCACACCCTGGGGAGGATGAAGGAAAGCTCTCAGCTTGGCCCAGATGAACCTTGGTCTCCCTCCCTGCCCTGAGCTTTCCCAAAAAGTCAGTCAGGTGCAGAATCTCATAGGCCTGTAGGGCCAGGCATGGATAAGAGGAGCAGGCGGGTGGGGCCAGAGGGAGCCAGGGGCCCCATCTATCCTGTGGCTTAGCCCTGCCTCAACATAACCCCAGGAAAAGGCAGACAGCACAGCCAACTGTGGCCATTTTCCAACACATGTCAGAAATCTAGATTTTTGTGTGAAATCTAGGATATTCTCTTGATGTCAAATCCAGCTCCCCTCCTCCCAAGGCCAGGATGGCTTCGCCTCCTCACCAGCACCACAGAGGGACCCCAGCCCTGTTCCAGCCTCCTCTTACCAGAGGGCTCCTCGTGGGGGCGGGCGAGGGTGAGGGCGCGGCCCAGGAACAGATGCAGGTCCAGCAGGTAGGGGACCTCGTCTGGGGCCACCAACGAGTAGGCTGTGCCACTTCGGCCAGCCCGGGCCACTCGGCCTGTGGGAAGTAGAGGTCAGATTGGAGCAAAGGCAAAGGACCCCCACAGCCCAGCAGAGTCCCACTGGCCCAACCCTAAGAGTGGGAGCCAGGCCAAGGCCCATGCCAATGACTTGCGGTCCCCACCTACAAAAAGCGAAGGGGCACCGATGGCAGCCGGCGGGGTCACCCGTATGAGAGAGTGAGCCAGGACAGTGCTCTGGGAAGTCAGTGGAGATAAAGACAGGGCACTGCTCATTATCAGTGTCAAAAGCCTTCAGCATCCCTGCTTTGGGGGATTTCCCTCAAAGAAATACCTAAGGATGCAGATTCACACGGCGATGCCTACTGCAGCTCTGCCTGCAGCCCCAACTTGGAAACCACTTAAGAAGGGGCAGAGCCAGCACTTCCCTTAAGAGGACTGGCTAATTAGCTGATGGTCACATGGTGGGGATTATACAGCTGAGAGGGCCTGGCAAACTGTGGCCAGTGCCCAAATCTAGCCCCCAACCTGTTTGTGTAAAGTTTTACTGGCACATAGTCATGGTCCTTCACTACATATTGTCTAGGGCTGCTTTCATGCTACAACAGCAGAGATCAGTGAGAGACTGTGTGGCCCTGAGGCCTTAGATAGTTACTATCTGGCCCTTTACGGAAACAATTTGCCAACCCCATCATAAAATGAAATTTGATGGTGAATGAAAAACACACTTGATGTACACACACACACACACACAAAAGGTTATAGGAAACAACATCCAGTGTGCTTCTGATGTGTTAAATCCACAAGTAACGTGACCTTTCGGCTTGTTTCTGCATCTTGCAAAAACAGGGTGTCACCACTTTTGGAAGATTCATTTGGGGTGGTCTGATTTACAATGTTGGTCACATGGTGCATGAGAAATTCCCTTTGGAGGTTCTGGGGACCCCTCAAGGAACATGCAGAGCCAGTTCCTCCAGAGCAATGGAAACTGACATGCAGCAAGCAGCAACTAATAGGGAGACAAGCCCCGAGACCCACGGCTGGATACCTGGGTGGAGGCCTCCCTTGTGTCCCAGCTGATGCTGAATCAGTTCTCCCGGGACACACCATGGCAGCCAAAGTTTACCTACTCAACAGTGTTCAACCACATGCAGAACAAGGCACCTGCCTGCCAGATCTTCACACACACACACACACACACACACACACACACACATCTATAAACATAAATGCACATCTATGAGTTAAAGCAGAGAAAGTAGAATGGTAGCTGCGAGGGAGTAGGGGAGGAGGGAATGGTGACTTATTGTTTAATGGCGACAGTATGAGTTTGGGATGATGAAACAGTTCTGGAGCTGGATAGTGGTGGTGGTCGCATAACAATGTGAATGTACTTAATGCAACTGAACTTACACCTAAAGATGGTTGAAATGGTCGTTGTATGTCATGTATTTAAAAAATTTAAATACAATTAAAAAAAAGAAGTGGCAGTGGCAAAGGACACACCAAATTGACCCATGTCACCAGAGAGGCAGTGAGGGGCAGTGGTGAAGTGGGGGCTCCAATCCTAGCAGCCCCACGTTCCTGCCTGTACAACATCGAGCCAGTTATGAGCCTCCCTGGCCTCAGTTTCCTCATCTGTGATGAGGAGGTGGTGCTGCTGGCACCCACGACATGGGGTTATCATGAACAGGAAGGCCAAGTAACTGCCTCCAGCAGGCCCAGGGGAGCCTGAGCGACTGTCAGCTGCCGTCTCAGCTCCAAGACAGGCACGTGACTTACTGCCTTCTGGGAGCTTTGCTTCATTTTCTAATTTTCCTATTTTGTTCATGCCTCATTTTTATAATTGAAAAGTTAAACTGAGTGTTTGGCCTGGGAGGGCTAAGGGAGAGGTGAGGGCCCAATATAGTGACTCGACGCAGGGAGGCGAGAGATCCTTTCTGCAGCTGATGCAGCAGGAGGCTAGTAGTCGGTGTGTTATTTAAAGGTTGCAAAGGTACTTTGGAGAGGAGCTAAAAAGACAGGTTCAGGAAGAGGACTGTGGGAAGGAGGGGCTCACGGGCACATCAGTACCGCAACAGGAGAGGGTGCGGGAGGAAGGTCAGTACTGGGAAATCCACAAGGCAGAGAAGCACCTCGGTAGAGCTGTGGGGCTGCCCTTTAGAATCATGCCTGGGCCAGATCCCTCATGGATGCTAATTGGTGGGTCCCTTCCCTAAGCCTTGGTTTATCTAGAGGAGCAGAAGCTGAGCCTTGTGACCTCAGCTCCCACCAGGACTCGGTGCCCTGCCAGATGCAGTCCAGCCCCAGGCTCCTTACCCACTCGGTGCAGGAAGAGCTTGCCCTTGGCAGGGAAGCTGTAGTTGATGACATTGTCTAGCAGCGGGATGTCCAGGCCCCGGGCTGCCAGGTCAGTCACGATAAGGGCAGAGCACTTGCCGTGGGTGAACTTGGCTAGGTTGATCTTACGGGATGTCTGGTCCAGGGCGCTGTAGATGTGGGCACAGTTCACCCGCTGGGTCATCAGCAGCTGCTCAGGGTGAAGACAAGAGGCAGGGTGGGGCTAAGGTGACTTGCAGGAGCTACAGGAGCAAGAGGGCCATGGCATGGAGGGAATGGAGGGAAGAACACGGCCTCTGGAGTCAGGCACCCTTGGTTTGAATCCCAGCTCTACTAGGTGACTCTAGTGAGGTATCTTCATTAGTACAAATAGGCTTATATCAGCTCCCACCTCTCTGCAGGGCTGTCTGAGTATCAAAAGGGATGTTGAGAAGTCTCCCTTAGGAAAGTTGCAAGTGCCACCCCAGGACACAAATCTCCTGACTCTTCCACTAATAAGCTGTGTGACCTTGGCAAGTTGCCTAACTTCTCTGTGCTTTCACTTTCCTCATCTGCAGAATGGGGAGAATAATAGTTCCTTCTTTAACTTTGTTAAGAGGATTAAATGAGTTAATACACACCCAAGGCTGAGCACAGGGCCCAGAACATAGGAAGCACCCTGAAAATGCTAACTGCTCTTTAAAAATTACTATCTTGGTTTTACTCATCAGTGACCCTAACAGCTGCATGGAGGAAGCACCGTTAAATGTATGTTGAATAAGTGAAACCCAGTGAACTGTGTCCCAAGATGACAGGCCCCAGGTGTGGATGACCCAACTGGGGACCCCAGGAACTGTGAGGCATGGGGCTCACCCACACTTTGATCTGGCCAAGGGTCACAGGTGTACATGTATGGAAAAAAGTCATCAAGTTGTTTGTGTAAGATTAGGGCACTTGACACAGCCTATAGCATGCAGGGTAGACCCCAACTTTAAAAGTAAACCACATGGGACATGGAAAATCTCTAGAAAAACAATAGGAAGGCTGGGATATGCTTCAACCAATAACTTGGTTGGAAGTGGAATAATAGATGGATCAAGACTGGCCGTGAGTTGATGACTGAGTACCTGGAGAGTTCATTAGGCTGTTTTCTTATGTTAGTATATGTTTTGACATTCTTTATACTAAAAAGTTTAAAAGAATAAAAGTACAAGCCCTTGCCAGGCCAATGTCCCGCTCTGGTGCTGTCCTCTGGTGGCCGCACATGGAACTGCAGCTCCCTGCCCCTGATGCAGAAGGTGGTCCAGGGAGGGTGCGTGGTCCCAGCGTGTCTTCCCCAGTGTGGCTCAGTCAGGGCCCGCTCACCTCGCTGAGGTACTCAGCATGGTGCTTCGTGGCCACAAATACCACGGTCTGGTCCTGGGGCCGCACCGCGCTGCGCAGAAGGTGGAGCAGCACGGCGGCCTTGGAGTCTTCACGCACAAGGAAGAAGGACGTCTGTAGGGAGAAAGGGCCGGATGGTTGGCTCACGGGGCCGGGCCCTGGGCCTGGGAAGGGGCATGGCGGTACCCTCACCTTGAGCTGCTCATTGAGTTTGGCATCCACATCTAGCCGGATGAGCACAGGCTCCGTGAGGCCTGCAGTGGGCACGGGGAGGGTGTGGGGGGAGTCACTGACGGACAAGCCCCCCAGGCCTCGACAGAGTCCCAGGTCCCAGGCCCCAGCCCTGCTCCCCGACTCACTCACCTGCCCGGGCGAACTCCACCAGCAGTTTGGGCAGTGTGGCGGAGAAGAGGACAGTCTGGTGGCCTCCGGGGAGGCGGCCGATGATTTCCTGTAGCTGCTCTGCAAACCCCATTTCAAAGAGCCTGGAGGCAGAGGGCAGGACAGGGTCAGGAGAGGGGCTTCCACTCCAGCAGGAGCCAAACTTCAGTCACCCTTGCCCCCACCACACGTCTTCCCCATGGACTGGTGTTTGTCTCATGTGGTGGTTTAACTCAGCTCACTTTTTCTCTGTTTGACAACCTCATCCTAAACAATGAAGACCTTGAAATCTTGAGTCTGTTCTCAGTTATATTTCTTGCAAATTTATGTGAAACAATGAGCCATCCCTCTGTGCCAGGCATGATCTAAGTACTTTACAAATATTGACCCTTAGTCCTCCCTGCACCCCTGGGAGGTGCGTACTATTTTATCCCCACTTTGTGGTTGAGGCCACCGAAGCCCTCAGTAATCTGCTGGGGTTTGGCCCCACCCCTATTTGGCTCCAGTCTGTGCTCTCAACTTTGTGCTACTTTTTCTCTTTCAAATCATGTGGTTGTTGATTTATTACTTTCAGTATTTGTGAAGTAATTTAAAAAGCCCTGTTGGTCCAGGGAGCCCCATCAGCTCTGTGGCTGTCTATGGTCTGTAGCCCACATTTGGGGAAATGCTGCTTTGTCTGTGGCCATACAGACGCTTCCTGGCCAATCTCACCTCCCTCTGCTTTCCTGGTCTCGGGCCAAGCATGACACAAGTGCACGGGGTGTACCTGCAGCCTTACCTGTCGGCTTCATCAAATACCACGTACTCCACACTCTGCAGCTTCAGGTTCATCTCCACGGCCACATGCACCAAGCGCCCAGGGGTAGCAATGATTCTGGAAGGGGTTGGAGGCCAGGTTATGCAGGGCCAAGGGCACCAACAGAGCCTTCCTCTCACTCTCCAGCTGCTGGCCATCTGGGAAGGTGCCCCAGCACATCGCCTCCAATCCACAAACTCACATGTCAGGATTTTCATGCAGGGCTGCAAACTGGTCTTCCATCCTAAGGAGAAAAGGAGGTGTCGGCTTGATAGAACAGTTCTCTTTAGTCCCTCTCCATTCCCTTAATGAAAAGCCCCGGGGAGTCCCACACCCTGACTCTCAGTTTGGAACCGGGGAGAGGCTATTGCTGAGAAACTAGGCAAAGACAATGTTTTACAAGTTACAAGCTCCAAAGCATAAACGGATGGATACAACAAAGAATTCCCCAAAGAGATAGCCTTGGCTCCAAACCCACCTCACTCCCTTCTCCCCAGACTGCAACAAAGCTGTCTTGACCCACAGCACCACCTAGCAACAAATCCTGGATCTGCCAGTTCCTCCTAGAACCCTGGTTTCCTGGATCTCTGTCTGGTTCTTACACCTTTTGTACATATCCCTAACTTTAGTCCTCCTCTCAAACAGCCTCAGGATACCTGTAGGAGCCAGAACTCTGGGCCAGGCCTTGCCCAGGGAGGCATTTCTGACAATCATGAGCTGTAGAGATAACAAGTTATAATTTACTGTAGGCAAAGGAGCACTGGACAGTGGAACACTCATCTCAGAATCAAGTGTGACCAGTGACAGTGACCCTCTGAGTCACAGGTATGGTGCCTACCACCCTGGAAAGACGGTACCAGCACATCAGGAAATCACACCCTTTCCAGTTCTGAGTCATTACAAACATTCCTTGATTTTTGTGAGTTCCACTTTTAAACAGCCCACAATTAGGCATACTGAGACACACAATGAAGCCCCCGTTTTAGGTGACCCTGTGTGCTGCCAACAGCATCAGAACCTTTGTCTCGGTTGCAGTGCTAATTCCTTTTGGTATTTTATGTGTCCCTTGTTAGATTTTTTAGGACGAGCAGAGAGGTTGCAGTTGCTAATAAGCACAGGGGCTCAGTCAATCTGGTACCCTGGAGGCGGGGGCAGCCCTGTGGGGTTCTTGTGGCCTGGGTGAGGGTTCTTACTTGTCCCCGCCCAGGATCAGGGCAGTCTTGAGGCCTGTGAACTTGCCCAGCTGTGGACAGAAAGAGACTGAGGTGAGAGAGGGTCGAGGGAGATGACCCAGCCCACCGAGGCCCCAACTGATCCCTGCTTGGCCCTGCTGCCCCAACCCCGGCCCCAGCACACCTCCCTGGTGAACTTCATGGTCTGCAGGGCCAGCTCTCGGGTAGGCGAGAGGACAAGGGCTCGTGCCCCGGTCTGAGCACTGTGCGTCTTAAGCCGCTCAAACATGGGGATGAGGAAGCAGGCTGTCTTTCCACTGCCTGTCCGGGCCATGGCCACCACGTCCTTGCGGTCCAGGATCACTGGGATGGCCTGAAGAGAAACGCATGGGTCAAGGGTGGGGCCAGCTCCTGTGACGGAGCACCACATGACCCAAAGCTCCAAGTCACTGGGGAGTGGGTAAACTGGGGGAGCTCAGTGAATGGAAGGAGCCTGTCACCCATCCCTGATCTCATTCTTGCCAAAGCTTGTTTGCACACTTCCAGCGATGAGCCGTTGTTCACTAGCCCCAACTCCTTCCACTGCTGGGACATCCATCTTCAAGTTAAGCCAGATTTGACCTCTCTATCTAGTCTTCCTGGTTGCAGAGAAATGTTGTCTCCTTGTCTGTTAAATGTCTAAGGACCACACTCATGAGCCCCAGTGATAATGGGGCACCTGGGAGCTGCCTGTGCAGTGGGCAGCCTTGGGAGGCTAAAATGGAAAAGAAGCCCAGGGCTATCTCTCCTCTGCTGGGCCCAACGTTTTCCACTAGGGTAGTTGACAAGTTGTGTGGCTTTAGCCAGAATAAGAGAGGGTGTCAGGTGACAGCTGGGACTAGGGTGTCAAGAGGCCAGACAGGGGACCAAGTCAGTCATCCCCTCCTCCCAACCCCCAAGAGCCTTCTGGCCCCATACCTTCCTCTGGATGGGGGTTGGCACCTTGTAGCCCTTCTTCATGATGCCTTTGAACACGGGGTAGCTCAAGCCTGGGAAAGACATGGGAACGGGATTCCCCTCACACTATAGAAAACTACACAGAACAGAGGACCATTCCATCAACAAATCAGTAGCAAGAAAACAAAGAAAAGCAATGGAGCAGAGATGGAAAGTTATGAGATGAATCTGCTGACTGTGGGCTGTGACCCTTACGTGGATTCTGATCTGAACACTTTTCATGCCATGGGGAAGCAGGGGGTGGAGGGGTGGGGGGTCTGAATGCTGACAGGTCTGGGACGGTTCCAAGGAGCTGTTCGTGGGTTTCAGGCATGGGGAGGTCCTGCATCTCTGGGAGATATGTGGGGAATATTTAGGGATACAAGGAGGGGCTGTCTGGGATTTGCTTTCGAGTCCTCCAGGATAAAGGGCCAAGTTGGGGGGCAGGCGTAATAGACTATCAGAACTGTTGAAGCTAGTGACAGCTACATGGAGACTCACTGTCCTATTTTTTAATGTTTGAATTTTTTTTATAACTAAAAGAAAAGGGAGTTTTATAATTAAGTGATGAGGACCCAGGTTGGGTGCAGGCATGGGTGTTGACAAACGGGGCATGTTGTGCTTTAAGGGAGAGGAGGTTGCCTCTGGAAACTGAATGTGATTTGGGTTTATGGAGATGGGAGGACAGTGGGAGGCCTGGAGATAGGAAAGCACCAGGGTTTTAGCTGCTCTGGGTCAATCCTTCATCTTCGTGATTCAGAAAGGCAAAATATGTAGATGTTTTTAATGTTTTTCTTTGACAATTGACGAGGTTTAGAATACTTTTAATATATTAACTTACTGTCTGGATTCCTTTTGTGACCTATTCATTTTCTTCACCCAATTCTCTATCCAGGTGTCTTTTTCTTATTGATTTGTAAATGCTCTCTATATATTCGGGATATTAACAACTCTTTGTCCCATAGGTTACAAATACAACATTTACTTTACAGTGATTTTTTACATACACATGTCTAATTGAAAAAAAAACAAAAAACTAAATGGTGCTCAGGTCACACTAAAAAGGCCTTCTTTTCCTAAGATTATAAAAATATTCATCTTGATATTTATCTTTGCTCCAGATGCTACTGATTTGTAAAGAGCAAGAAAGAGTTCAGCTTTATTTCCAGCTAGGCAGGTGTCCCCAATACACCTAACTATTCCAACTCCTGCCCTCTGTTCTGAATTGTTGTTTTGTGGTGCAATAAATCTCCAAATGTCTTTGCCTGCTCCCACACACTGAGTCCTGCTCTAGCTGCTCTCTCATTGTGTCAGGACCAAGCCCCCCCCGCCCCCGAGAAGGCCCTGACTGGCTTGGAAACAAGGTCTGCTGTCTTGGTCTACCCAACACCTACCACAGTGCTGGGCCCAGAGCAGAGAGTGTGCTGACCCCCTGCTGTTACTCCCCAAAAGTCCCTGGATGCCTGGCTCACTCACCCATGGACTGGAAGCCTCCTGACTTCTTCTTCTTCTTGTTCTGGGCTCGCACCATCTCCCTCGTATCTGGCTCCACGTCTGAGGCACATTCTGAGGTGGGGAAAGTGGGCAGGGGTCTTCCAGGTCCCAGCTAAGGGAGGAACAGAGGCAATACCACTCCAGGCACAGTTAGATTCTTGGGGGCAACGAGGAGGCCTGTCCTGTTGCCAGTCTCCCCCCATTAAAGCTGATGACTCTCCTGCCAGATCATATGACTTCTCTGCTAAAGGGCTGTCCTTGACTGGGCCAGGATAGGACAGGGGAGCAGAGTGTGGGCACTGCAGACAGACCTCCTTGGGCTCCACACCCGCTCTGTCACTTGCCAGCTCTGAAACCTCAGGCAAGGGGCTTAATCTCTCAGTCTACGTCTCCACATCTGGAAAGCGGAGATCTCCTGGCCTCACAGGGTGTTGTAAGGACGCAAAAACAAGTGTAAAGCTCAGCATGGTGCCCAGCACATGGCTGGTGGTATTGGTATCATCATCATCATCTGGTCTGGTCAAAACCCTTGCAATTAAAAACTTTATAGAGACCAAATCAAAACATGTACTATGTGGGAGGTACTAGACTCTTTCAAGCTGCCTTGTCCCTGCCCTGGCCCCCTATCTCCTTTCTGACTTTGGTCACCCTTCCCCAACTCTGGTCTCTCATGCTGGCCTTGTTTCTGCCCATCCAGGACCCACGTGTCCTAGCACACCTAAATCCCACCCAGACACCTCCCATGGAGAGCCTTCTAAGACTACACAGCTGTCCCCCTTCCTCTCAGAAATAACCTTTTTGGGGCACTAATTCAGAGTAATGGCTAAAATGTACATGGCACATACTATAGGCAGGTGCTTCTCTGAGCATTCACATAAATTAACCCATTTGATCTTCACAACAAACCTGTAAAGCGGGTACTATTATTTTGACCATTTTACAGAGAAGAAAACTGAAGCACAGAGGGAAGTGACCTGTCCAAGGTCATAGAGCTAGCAAGTGGGGGATCAGGGATTTGTACCATGGCTTCAGAGTCTATGTTCCTCCCACTGTGACCCTCAAAGGTCCCCTACAACCATCTAGGTCAGAGGTACCGCCTGTCTAGAACAGTCCATGAGCTAAGATGGTTTTTACATTTTAAAAGATTGTAAAAAAATTAAACAAAGAAGACAGTGACATTATATGGCCCTGCAAAGCCTAAAATATTTACCACCTGGTCCTTTACAGGATCAGTTTGCCAACCTTCACTCTGGAAACATGAAAATGAAGTGCCTGGACTACATCAGTGCCCAAGCAGTATTTACTGAATGAGTACAAGTATGAACACTATCATTTAATTCTTTCAATGTAAATCATTTGCCTTCTACAGATGTGCCAGGGAGGTCAAAGCAACTTATCCAATGTCCCACAAGCCAGTGCAGGATTGGGGCAGATTTGAACACAGGGCTGCATGGGGAGGTGGAGGGGAGGGGGGGAAATAATAGAATGAGATCCCATCAGGGCTCTGCCTTGGAGGAAAGTAGATCTTGCTCTTCATATAAACGCCCACTCTTTCGTCTACTTACCAGAGACTACTCTGTGCCAGGCACCAGCTGGGCTCAGATAAAGGAGTAATAATGTGCTACAGCTCTTTTGTCCCCTTGGAGCTCACATCTGCCCCCTCCCTCATTTGCATACAGTTGGCGCTCGGCAAAGGAAAACAGCACAGGCCCTGGAACCAATTAGTCTGAGGCTTGAATCCTGGATCTCCCACTCACAAGCCTTGAGGTCTTGGTCAAATTCCTTAATCCCTCTAAGCCTCAGTTTCCTCTGGAAAATAGGGGTGGCGGTATTTAGCTCACGGGTTTGGTGTGAGGATTAAATGACAAGGCTTGTAAAGCTCTTAGCACGGAGTCTCGCACTTAGTAAGCGGTCAACAAACCCAACTTCAATTTATTATAGGTTTACCGGAGTTTTGGGGGCGTCACTACCTCAGGGCCCCGCCTCTCCTTAATTAACCTACCAAGAATTCCCCAAACTCTCAAAGGCAGATCTTCAGCACCAGAACTTTCCATTGGACCAAGGGGCACTACGACCCGCCCCCCCGGTGAACGTAGCCAATGAGGGGCGCGAGAACAAAAGCCGGCCCGGAAGGCTCGCGGGCCGCAGCGCCTGGAACGCGACGACTCTGGCAGTGAGCGCCTGGGGCGTGACAGGCCCCGACACACGTGCTCAGGCTCCCGATGCTCGGCCAACCGACCTCTCCCCACCTTCGGCGGTGCTCACTCCCCACCTGGGGAAGCTGAGGCCGCCGGGCGCTGCGCGGAGCCGGGGCTCGGACTCCAACGTGGGTTCCCAGCGCCGCGCTCCTACCTTCTGGGCCCGGGCATCATCTTCCGCCTGGATCTCAAACTCGCCGTCCTCTGAGTCGCTGCTGCGGGCCTGGGAGGCCGCTCCTCGGTGCCTCCGGAGCCCCTTCTTCTTCCTCCGCTGGGCCATGGCAGCTCGGGACCGGAGTCCTGCGGCCGGGAGCGTGGCGGCCGCCATGCGGGCCGGGGCGCTGGGAGAAGGGGGGCGGAGTCTGCAGGGACGTACCAATGGTGCCGCGGGGGGTGGGAGCCGCGCCTACTGGCTGCTCTCCCTCGGCTTCTGCGGTCCAGGAAGTTGGCACACGTACAGGCGTGCACACATCACACACACACACTCCTCTGACTAGAGTGACAAGCCCCCTACGAGGCCTTGGGGATCTCTGGGGGCTTCCGGAATGGGGTGTTCCCCGCACCGGAAGTGAGTGGTTCCGGTACCCCCGCTCTTCCCTGGTTGCTGTTTGGTGCTCGCGTCCCGCGCACGTAGCTAGGGCCTGGGTGCCACGAGTCAGTGTGTTCACGCGGTGCCCGGGCCAGGGGCGGCCTGCGCTACCGAGGGTCGCACATTACGAGATTACGGGCTATAGACAAACTGGGTTCTCGGATGCACCGCGCTCCGAGGGTGCCCTAGCGCCCCCGCAGAAGAGTCCCGACCTGGTGGGGAGGAGATGCTAAGGATTGCAGCTGACGTCGGCAAGCCAAGATGCTCAGGTACGAAAATAACTCAGGGGTGCCAGGGACTTGGGAATTTCGACTTGGGGGTCTGAGAGTTTGGGGCAGTGGGGTTGGTGGGCGTGATCCCACGATGGTAGAACGCTTAAGTGCATAAGCTCTGGACTCCAATCAGGTTTAAATTACTGTTTGAGCTTTATTAGGTGAGACAGCGCATGCAACTTCACCTTTGGAGCCTGGGTTTTTCATCTGTAGAATGGACATAATCGAAGCTACTTCACAGGACTGTTAAGAAGATTAAGTGAGACAATGCTTGTAAAGCTCTTTGCACGAGGTAGGCATGGGATTGATAACTGGCTATTTATTCCTGCCCCATAAATGTATACCTACCCTCTCTCCTACCCCCACCATAGTTTGCTTTCTGGTTGGTGTCAAAATGAGCATAGTAGGCTCCATTTCTCCTTCATCCCCCTAGCATTCTATAAATATTTATTGATATGCTAGGAATGCATATTTATTAAATATTTGCTAGTAGCACCCTTCTCCCCATCATTGTGACAAGTTTAAAAAGTAGAACAAATTTCTGAAATGCACCTGGGGTTGGCAGCTTCCCTTTGAGGAAGACTGGTTGAAGAACAGCCTCACTCTTTTGTCCTTGGGATGGGGACTTAAGAGACTGCCAGTCTGAACTCTGCTGGCACTGCTGATGACAGGGATACCATCATGTCCTCCTTGCATAGGGAGTCCTGGAGACTGGGCCTGGCAGGTAGAGTGCACCTGCTGTCACCCGGGACCATGGGCAGCATGAAGACCCCCACGGAACTGGCCATCAATGGGATGCAGACCCTCCACGATCAGCACCGCTGCCAGGGCGGCTATCGGGTTAAGGCCAGGCCATCATACGTGGATGAGACTTTGTTTGGCAGTCCTTCGGGTACCCGGCCCACACCACCAGACTTTGACCCACCCTGGGTCAAGAAAGCCAACAGAACCAGAGGAGTGGGCACAGGGGCATCACGGGCCTCAGAAGCCAATAGAAGCTGTGACACCATCTCCTCCAGGGGCATCACCCAGACCCTCACACCCAGAAAAAAGAACAAATACAGGTAATAAGGGATATGTACTTTTGTATTCAGTGCAGCAGCCTGCATTCCTGTTACAGCCCTGCTGCTCACATGCTGTGTGACTCTGGGCAAGCACTTTGACCTCTTGAGCCATAGTTTCCTCATGTGGAAAATGTGGCCTAGTGGGATTGTTAAGAGGATTAAATAAGATGAGGTGTGTACAGTGCTTGGCAGAGTAACCTAACTCTCAGAAAGCTCTCAATGAATGGTAGTGATGATGGTTGTGATGGTGGAATACCCATTCCCAAATATCACAGACTGGGTCTCTGAAGCCCAGAGGGGCCAGGGGATTTGCGCTAGATGACAGAGCAGTTTGCATGAGATTATTAGTGTGGTTGATCCATGAAATAACATAGATGTGGTGGTTCCGAATTGGATTATTTTTTAAACGGTTCTTGCTACATTTTTATGAACAAGTTAGAAAAACAGTTCAACCCGAGCATCCTCTACATGCCGGCTGCTGGGCTGTGCAGTTTCAGTTACAGCCAGAAGGGCCACAGGCCTGCAAAGCATTCATCTAACAAGGCCACAGGGAAAAAGGAAAAGTGGTTGGTAAAAGAAAAATTGAAGGCTGTAAAGACTAAGGTTGTATTGATTGAGACTCTTTTGGTTGCAAGTGACGGAAAATGTACCCAAACTGACTTTGGAAAAAAGGCATTTGGGGTTCATATAACAGGCTCAGGCTGTTGCTGGGATTTTGTCTCCTTCTTAGCACATCTTCCCTCACACGTTCCAGGTGACATGGCCACCAGCTGCTTTGCCCTTACATCCTGCCAGCATGTCAACGCCAGGTGGCAGAAAAATATCTTTCCTAGTAGTTATAACAAAGGTCTCACAGCACACTGTCATTGGACAGAATTGGCCAATCAGTGGCCAGGGATGGAATATGGAAATTGGCCAGGTCTGAGGCCCTGCCAGGGAAGGGGGTCAGGATGCTGGGGAACTGGATGTTTAGAAAGAAAAAACAACAGAGGGCCATGGCACATGACAGGCTATGGCCTTACTGTGGATGCCAGCCTGTGAGGCAGAGTCTTCTGGGAAATTCAGGCGACACCTGCGGCTGCAGGGGCCTGGTGGGGATGGTTGGGGTGTGGGGTTTAAGGTTTCAGGGGTTTGTTCATCCCCTGCTCACTGCTTTTCTCTTCCCTTTGCCAGACTGATCAGCCACACTCCTTCTTACTGTGATGAGTTGCTATTTGGCTTCCAACCAGAGGGAGTCAGCCGGGAGCCCCCACTGATGGCGAAGGGGGATGTTGCAAAACTTCACACCCTCTTCTGGACACCCCCAGCTACCCCTAGGGGCAGCCACTCGCCCTGCCCCAGGGAGACCCCACTGCGAGCCATTCGCCCAGCTGGTCCCTCAAAGACAGAGCCCCGGGTGGCGGTGGACTCCTGGAAGTTGTCTGTGGATGGGTTAGACTCTCCACACCCTCTGAGGCAGGGACGTTCCCATTCCCTCACTCACCTGAATTCCCCCACCACTGGTCTCACACCTACCAGTGCCCACCATGTAAATGGGCCTCGGGATGCCAAGCCTTCCCCATCAGGGGTGACCTTCCGGAGCCCCCTGGTAACGTCCAGGGCTTGCTCCATCAGTGTTTCAGTGCCAGCCACACCTCGACAAGGTGGGGCCACCCAGAAACCAAAGCCCCCTTGGAAATGAGGGACTTTGTTGGTCCTTTCATCAAGTTTGCCCATGGGGTCACAGCAGGGATAGTTCAGAGGAAGCACTGGCTCCCCTCTGGGGAGCCCAGGATCGCCTAGGTACCAGGCATTGGCAAAGCACTTGTGGGTGCTGATGCTGCAAGGTAGGCAGTGCCTCCCTATATTCTGACAACCTCTAGTTGCTTCCTGCTTTTACCCCCACTGACGTGGATTTGAGGGGCATGCCTTAAGAGGCCTGTCCCCAGTCTTGTCAGAGCCACATGCCACAGTGACAGTGCCAACCCAGGGGTGCCCCCCACGGTGGGCCATCACTGCCCCTGCCACTCCCATGGCATTGTGTTGCCGCCAGGAATAAGTGGTATGATCACCAACCAGGAGGGCTCCATCTTCCTTCCCTCAAGCCAAGCTTCCTGCTGGGCATGAGTTTCCAGTTGAGACCGGAGGTGTCAGGAGTTTTCCCAGGCACAGTGTTGGACCACAAGAACCCACAAGTATGCAGAACACAGGGTCTGGGTGATGTGTTGGCAGAGTTTAACATTTTAATAGTCATGTGTTTATTTTCATGTATTAAATGTATCAGGAATTCATCAAAGCCATGACTTATACTTCTTAGTTTTTCCTTAGGGTAAAGACCAATGTTAGGAATGTTAGGAATGAGCTGATTTAAGTAAAGTAGTATAACAAGGAAGTGGCAGAGATCATGACAGTGCAAGTGAGTGGGCCACTGAGGTTCAGGAACACTGCCCTCAAGCAATATGGGGCTCCCACATGTATCTAGTCAACCTGACTAAACTGGTGGGTTGGCTGGTTCTGAGCTCAGAATGGGGCTAGAGTTTGTATTGTTGTGAAATCATATACACACATTTCCCAATATCAGTAAAAACGGTGGCTAGGACTGCCAAGCAGAGAGATCTGGGATAGCCAGGAAGTCACATGTGCATCTGGCACTCAGGACAGAGGCCTAAGTGGTCAGGCGCACCACCGGGGATCAGGTTGCTTAGGAAAATGGCAAAGCACTTGCTCAGTTGGAGTGGCACCCAGAATCCCAGCATCCTGGTGGATTTGGGTGGGGGTTGGGCCTCTCCTTGTCCCCATTTTCCCCTAATGTACTTAGAGAAAGTACTGGGATTCCAGAGAACCCACCTGTAAGCCATGATTGGTTCTATAGCTCTGCCTTTGCGAAGGAAAGAACAGACACTTGTGGGGAGCAGTCTGGGAGGGACCAACGGGGGCCAGGACCAGGGACATACATGCAGACACTTAATGGGTCCAGCAGGCTTAGCAAAGCAGGCCAGCAAACACTGCATTTGAAATGTGTAGAACATTTAAACTTACTAGAACTTTCACAATAAGTTCCTTTACTCCTTGTTTTTACTTGAAACATCCACCTCTTATTTGCCTTTATCCCCTTCCCCTATGTTTTAATAGACAAGGTTCAGAAACACCTATCCTCCCTAAAAGAGAAGCAACAAACCACATGTGATGATAATGGGACAATCAACACAAGGTTGTGATGCCTGGAAGACAGTTGGGAGTGGTGGGGACTGGGGTACCCTGCAGTGTCAGCCATCTGAAAGGTATGCTGCTACTCAGTTCTAGAAGACATGTACAGCTAGGGTATCTGGATGATTAGGTTTTCCTAGGAAAGGCAGAAAGCAGGATTTCTATATGATAGCCCCTGATTTTTTTAATGCCAGCAATGAATAAAAAAGTATATTTATAGTTCAACAACCTGGAAACCAAATAGGGCCAATGTGAGGCTGCTGGTTTATAACCTCGGGACACCTGAGCTTTCGCAGTGCTGGATGTGGGAGAAGTGGACCGACTGACCATCCCAGAGCAGGGGCTGAGGGCAGCCTGAAACCCTGTGCCTCCTGGGGTTCTCTGCCTGCTCCTGCACCCACTGCAGGCAGCTGTCACCCACAGCCCAAAGCCCACTGCCCTGGTGAGTGACATGTCCATTGCAGCCATGGCAGCATCCGGTCTGGGACCAAGGGGGCTGCAGCCCAGGGTCTGGCACCCCCCTGAAGCTAAAGAAGGAATGGTTATGTGCTGACACTGGGGCCTGCATGCTCCCCTCATAAAAGGGCACCTTCAAGTATGCATTCAACAGCCAACAGCCCTGAGTAAAACGAGATTTATTTGTGGGATGTGGTTTAAACTGCTTATTCATTGAGAACAATCGTTAAAGCCATGAACTGCAGGACTCCCCATCCCAGTGGCTGCCTGGCCTGCTCTCTGGGAGGTGAGGGGAGTGCTGAATGCACAGGGATGGGAGTGGGGCTCTCGGGAAGGGCTCATTTCTTGCCCCTGCCCTTGCCCTTGCCCTTATCCTTAGTCTTGCTCCGCTTCTTCTTCTTAGACTTGAGCATGGAGCGGACCAGGTAGCCCTTCCATACAGACTGGATGAGCGTGGCGGCCCTCACCATGCGCACCATCTCTTGCTCAGCCTCCATCCTCTTCTTGGAGTTGATCTCCTGCTCTGCCCAGATCTGGGCGAACTCTTCTGCCAGCATGTCACGCCTCTGCTTCAGCTCCTCCAGCTGGGCCTTCTCCTCCTCATGTATAACGTCTAGCTCCTCGTACTCGTCCTGGGGTAAGGGACAGGGTGGGGGGCACCAGGCATAGGGCGCTGCCCGTTGCCCTCCACAACATCCTCTAACTTCCCAAAGGGGCTTCTGTGCACACACAGCCCCGCCCCCCAGCCGCAAGGCCGCCTACACTGAGCCTTTCTGCATCTGAGGCCCAGCTGATGGAGAGGTGATCTGGGCCATCCTAGCTCGAGGCCAGGCCTGACCAAAATAATCTGAGGAACAAGGAAAGGACACAGGCTTGTGGACTGGGCAGACTGGGCTTCAGACCCTTCCCTGGAGCACTGGTGATCAGGCAGAGCAGGATGCTGACTTGTCCTTCCCGGACAGAGCACCTGACTTTGGGTCACTCAGAGGCTGATGTCGCCTCCAGTGCTCGCCAGCCCCTGCTGGCCCTGACTTTGGGGCCCTGGGCCACTGATGTCATCACAGAGGTGGGTGGAGGGCTTGAGGGTGCCCGTTTTGTAGGCTACCATTCCCCGAGCACTTCCTCTAGGCCAGATCCTCTGCCTGGTACAAGCATTTGTAACAGCAGTGCGTCACTCAGGCCCCACCAAGGTCCCAGCACGGGTACTATCGCCTCTGTTGGTCACATGCAGAAGGGGGCTCAGAAAGGTGAAGTCCCTTGCTTCAGGCCCCATAGCTGATAAGTGACACTACAGTGGACCCTCCAAATAATATTGGGGACTTTCTTCACAGCTGCATCCCAGCACCTGGCACATCTCAGGCACTCAGTGGAGACTTTCTGAGTGACTGAGGGAAGTGGTGGAAGCAAGCTCATGGCTGAGTCTGTTGGGGCTGAGCCTGGCCTGTGAAGTGCTGGCAGGCGCTGAACCAGGAGGGAACAGAGAGTACAGGACGCGGTCACTAGGTGGAGCCAAGGGTGTTGGGCCTGCCTAGCGTCAAGCACTTAGGGCTCTCAGCTTCTGGCTCCTTCCTCCCCCCAGCTTTCCTGACTGCCCTAGACTAGATAACACTTGAGCCTAAGGAAGGGCAGGAAAGCCTCCCTGGGGAGGCCCAGAACATGGCAGACCATGGACCATCCTAGGGCTTCTCCTCCCATCCCTTCATTCCCAGAGCATCATGGGAAACTCTCTTGTGAGAGGCTCACACAGAGACAAATACCTGCTTTTCACCCATGTCCGTATCATATTTCTGGATCCAGTTCTCAATTTCCGTCTCCACTTTATACTTTTTCTAAAAAAGTCAATTAGTCATAGTTTGACTACTGTTAACCATAAGCAGCACCAAGCACACTCTGCCTCAGCAGGCCAGGTGGGGGCTTTGCAGGCCTTCCCTAACAAGCTAGATTCTTTCCTACTTCACAAATAAAGGAACTGAGGATCAGACATGGCTAACTTGCTTGCCCATGATCACAGAGCTACTGGGTGGTAGGGCCTGGATTTGAAGCCAGCAGTCTGGCTCCAGAACAGTCAAGGCAGAGGGAGCAGCAGGTGCAAAGGCCCTGAGGTAGGAACAAGCTTATAGTGTTTAAAGAACAGAAATTGAGCCAGTGTGACTGGGATGGAGTAGCAAGCAGGAGCGTGTCCAGTGAGGCCAGAGTGAGAAGCTGTGTCACAGAGGAGTGTCAGAAGGGGAAGGGCCCTGGGTTCTAGTGTAAGGGTGAGGGAAAGGCATTTTGGGCAGATTCTGATGCAGTGGAGGGATATGGTCTAATTTTGTTTTTAGAAGATTAGCTCTCCTACATACAACTGAATGTTATTCAGCCACAAAAAGGAATGAAGTACCGACAAATGAACATGGTGCTAAGTGAAAGAAGCCAGACACAGAAGGCTACATGTTGTATGATGCCATTTATGTGAAATGTCCAGACTAGGCAAATCTGTAGGGACAGAAAGCAGATGAGTGGTTGCCAGGGGCTCGAGGGAGTGGGGGGTGAGGAGAAACTGCCTAATGGGTACAAGGTTTTATCTGGAAGTGGTAAAAATGTTTTGGACTAGACCGAGTGGTGGTTGGACACACATTGTGAATGTGCTAAATGATACTGAATTGTTCACTTTAAAATGGTTAGTTTTATGCTATGTGAATTCACCTCAATTTTAAAGATAAATAAATCAGTTCCATTATCCTACAGAGCAAGAGTTCTTAACTTGGGCATCATGGATGGGCTGGCTTCAGGGGGCCTGTGACCACTAAAAATTGTTCACCAGTATGTGTATGTGCATCTATGCCTTTGTAGGGGGGACAGGCCCATGGGTCCATCAGATGCTCAAAGGAATAGTGATGCTAAAATAAATTGGGAGCATTTATTAGAAAAGGAGCCCTTTGTGAGGAAAGGGATTTGGAAGCATACTGGGTGCATGCTGGACCCGCATCTGGGCTGGAATGATAGAGAAAGCAAAGGAAGACTTGGTCTTTATTGCGAACCTACTATGCACCAGCTCTCCACCCATTACCTCATTTCATTCTCATAACAACCTGTTAAGAGTGGTCTGATCACTTCTATTTTAAAGATGTGGGAGGAAAGTGCCCACAGTTACAGAACTGGCATGCAGCAGGAGGGGGCCTCATCCCTGGGCCTGGGTGCTGCACCCTCCTGCCTCCCAAGGGACACTAGTCAATCCTGGACGTCCACTGCTCCCATCCCTCCTCCTCAGGGCGGATGCCCCCTGGCTAGCTGGAGAGCCCTGCCTGCCCCACATGCTGGCGCTCCCTCCACCCCTCCTCTGCCCCAGAGGCTCCACTGTTCCCCACCCTCCCCACTCTCCCAGGTACCTTCCTCAGTGCCTGCTCCGCCTCCCAGTTCTCCATGACCAAGCTGTGGAACTGTGAGCGCAGCAGCTGGACCTCCTGCTGCATCTTGGCCACCCTGGCCTGCGAGGCCCGGAAGTCAGCCTTCTGCTGCCTTTCGGCCTCCCGCTTAGTGTGAAGGAGGCTTTTCTCTGAGAACTTGAGCAACTGGTGCAGGTGGTTCTTCAGTTCTTGGATCACAAAGTTCTCTTTTTCCACCTGGGCCGGAGAGAGGAGAGGCTCCGTGAATACCAGCATGATCCCCAATAATTGCAGGAGAGGCTGGCATCACTGCACACTCCCTTAGGGTGGGTGCATCAAGCCACCTGCATTACCATCTTGCCGACTCCTACCCATCCCCTAAGGGGACAGGAACAGCCTGATCACAGATGAAGAAATTGAAGCTCAAGGGGGACTAGTCATCTGTCTGGGGTTGTGCAGTTGAGCTGGGATTGGAAGCCATGTCTGTCTGATGGCCATGTTCTTGGCCACCAGCCTCTGTTTCCTGGTACAAAGGGCACAGGCGTGCCAGAGCAAGGCCACAGGAGAGGCCTGGGACAGTGGCAACGCTCCTGCCCTGGGCACAGTGGGAGAGTGCCCAACTGGCAGAGACTCTTGGCACAATGCATGGAAGTGTGAGATAAACACACATCACAAGGACAGCCCCCCAGCTCTGCCCTGAGAGCCGGACTTGTCCCCTGCCCTCAGTGGTTCTAAAACAGGAACGGGGGTAGAGGATAAGCTCCAAAGGCTGATCAGGAGCACTAGAGTCTTCCTCTGAACACAAGGATGCGGTGGCTGGCTTAGGCCAGTAACCCTGGGCTGGGGTCAGCTGGCAGCAGGGGCACAGGGGGTCTGCATTTAGGGAGCAGGAGAGAAGGGGTACTGCTTGGGCAATCCGATCTTATGGGCAAGGCTTCATGCTCTAGGTGTTGGGTTTTAGAGCAGGAAGCATTATTAGCAGTCACAGCTTCCCTTGTAGGCTCCATAACATGCTTGACTGGGTGTCACTCCCTCTTTTTACACTGAAATCTAGTGACGAGATGAAATCTGTTCACCTGGCAAAAATAGAACTTACCCCAAATCCATCCAACTTGGAAGCCACAAGCTGTTTCCAACACCCAAATAGGACCAGCAAAGCCACTTGGTGCCCTCTCCCTGGCTCTCCAACCTGAGTGGCCTTCTCTGACTGAACTCCCAGTAACCTATCATCTCTCCATTCAGCAAATAGTTACTATGCCCCTCTGTGCAGCCAGGCTCCCTGGGGACACAATGGTGGGCCCAAAGAGACAAGGTCCTGTCCTCTTGAGGGGGAGCCAGATCTCATCAAATAATCAGATAATCACACAAATATTTATCAATAAACTGATGAATGCCTGAAAGGATGGATTCAGTGGGAACAGAAGGAAGTGGGGACAGCTTGAGCTAGTGTGTGGGAGGTCGGGCGGCAAATAACCAGAGGGCCTTGGTCTGTTGTCCACCACAGGGGATGAAAATGGAGGTGCCGGCTGCCCCTCAGGGTCCGTCCCCCCAGAAAGGCTGTGGTGCAGAATGCCTCCCTGGCAGTGCAGCCTCAGCTACAGACCACCTTTCTCAGCATCTCTAGCAGCTGGGTGTGGCTAAAGACTGTACCATATGCTGCTTCCACGCTGCATCCTTAAAGAGCAGGGCCCACGCCCCCTCCCCTCCTTTCCTCCCGCCCCCTGGCTAGACCAGTGGTGAAATGATGGGGGAAAGCCAGAGCAGCCTTCTGGGCCCACAGTTAGAGGTCCTGTGGGGGGGGACAGCAGAGAAGCCAGATGGAAGCAGCCTGGACCCCTGACAATTTTACTAAGCAGAGCTTCCATGCCAGCTCCAGTTCTTCCATTAGAGGGAGAATACATGCCCATCTGGACTAACCCACTACTATTTTGGGTCTGTTTTAGCAGCCAGACCTATATTTAACACCGTCATGGGGAATTGTGAGAAAATGTATATAAAGTATAATATATAGTATGTGTTACAAAATGGGTTAGCTTGGGATCATGTTATTGTTGCCCGTCTTAAAAATTCTTGTAGAGCTTCTACCCCTCCCACTTGTCACTAACCCTCAGGACACAGACCACATTCCTTGATTAGGCCTCAAAGATCCTGTGTGATCTGCCAGCAAAGCCTGAAGTATTTTCTATCCAGTCTTTCACAGAGAAAGTGCCTATCCCTGGCCTAGAAGATTCCTCCCTACCTCACTTGCCTGGTTCGCTGCCTCTCAGTCTTCATGTGTCCACTTCAATGTCCCTGACCCTTTTGGTCTAAGTTCAGTTCTCCTGTAACACTCTCTTATTATGCCCTATACTTACCCTTCATTGTACTTCTCAAAACTGTAATTATGTCAGCTCTTTAAGAACTGCCTTCCCTACTGTGAACTTCATAAGGCTGGGACCATGTGGCACCTAATAAGCACTCCAAACAATATTTGTGGAGTAATAAATAAAAACAGCTCTTTAAATCACTGAGAAACCCAAATGCCAAAAGATTTGGGTTCCTCCGTGTGACTCCTTCCACAATTTGACCAATACTGCAAAGCTGTACCTCTATATCCCTGTTCCTTATGTTCACTGCTAATTCACTTTCAAGAGCATCAGTGACTTCTTGGTTCCTCCAAATCCGTTTACTGATATCCTGCATGAACTGAGCCCTGTCTCTGGCTTCCATGGGACTGGTGAGTAGCTTCTCAAACAGGAAACCCCGGAGTTCCATCAGGCTATCAATAAATCTTTGGGCTTCTGCACTTCTGCCTTGTGTCTGCATCTGCAAGAGGCTAGCAGCCTGTGGGTTATTGAGCAAGAGTCTCAGGGAGTTCTTAGTGGATTCTCTGATCTGTTGCATAAGTGGCAGGAGGTTGGGTTTCTGTAGTTCCACGGAGAAGAGGTGGTCTCTGAGCCACCCTCCCTCCTCAAACTCTTCTTCCTCCTGTAGCCATCTTTCTTCATCCTGCAGGTAATTGACATTGTCCAGGAGGATCTGGCAGAGAGCCTCGTGCTCTCTCACTGCCTTCACGATGTCCTCTCCCAACATCCCCTCCAGAGCCTCCTGATTGGACGCTACATATGACAGCAGGGTTGCCAACTCCACCTTGTGGATGGTCTCGTCCAGCACGGACATGATCCTCTTGGCCTCAATGGTGGTGAGTTTGGTCTTGGATGGGACCAAGGGGTTTAGTGGGGAGGGTGGCTTTTTGGATGGCTCTGCCATCGGCTTTATCCTGTTGATGTTGGGGCCACAGTGAGGACATCTAAAGCCATCTATGAGCAGTCTTCTTCTTCAGCTTTGTACACTCTGGGAGAGTGAGACTTTGGTAGACTACGTAGGTCTCCTGCTTTAATGTCTCTGGCAACCCTGAAAAAGGAAGGGGTAGGCAGTCAGAGAGCTGTGCTGATATGGGTATGGCTGGTGTGGCCACAGCAGCCACGAACTGTTGACGCTAAGAGGTCATCTTAGGTGCTCTGCAGCTTTGACACAGAGCCTTTCACTGAAAGCAGTTTTTGGCTTTGACAATGTTGGGGCCACAAGGGTCCAGAGGACTGAGTGTGGAGATGGGTCTCAGGCACGTGTGTCAGAAAGGGAATCACCAGGAATGCAGACACCATTCTGCTGAAGTGACTTAAATATGTAGTATTAACTATGTTGTAGTATTCACTGAAATGGATTTGTTCAGCCATTTACATTAATGAGCATGAATTAAATGCAACAGATATCACTGCAGGTGACTTAATGTGAATGAATAAAAATCAGTGCTACTGGATTTTTTAAAAAGTATTTAAAAAGAGAAAACTAGTTACACAGGTAATAAAGGAGTTGAGAGGCCGCAGTGGAAGATGAAGAAACCCAGCAATTGTCAATGGCAGGAAATCACCGCAGAATGAGGAGGTGGTGAGCTTGGGGATCAGGGTCACCAAGGGGAAGCTGGAACCACAGCCATATCCTATCTAGGAGGAGCTATGGCCCCAGAGGAGCTGTGGCCACTGCCAGAAATGCAGCCCAAAGCAAAGGGAAGGGGAGAAATACTTCGGTTCCTCCCTGCCTCCTGCCCTCCAGTCTAACACCAGTAGCTCCCACTGGCCAAACCCACTGGGAAATCAGATGACAAGAGAGCCTGGGCAGCCTGCAGGGCTTAGCAGTCTGAGACCCAGCCAGAGCAGAACAGAGACAGAACAAACAGTGGAGCTGACAGCAAACAGGACTTGCACAGCACATTTGCCCTGAATTTTAAGTATGGATTTAAAAAATCAGGGTGGGGCTGAGCAATGACATCAAAATACAATTCTTAAAAAGTGCTTTGCTAAATGCAATTTTGTATCCTGGGTTGTATCTTGGAATGGAAAAACGACATTAGTAGAAAAACCGGTAACATTCAAATCAAGTTGATAGTTTAATTAATAGCATTGTACCAATGTAAATGTCGTAGTTGTGACACACATATCATGGTTATTTAAGATGTTACCATCGGGGGAGCTGAATGAAGGGCATACGGGAATTCTGTACTCTCTTCCACTTTTCTGTAAACCTACAGTTATTACAAAATAAAAAGCTTATTTAAAAAGACTTTCAGAAACATTTATGGAGGCAGTCAGAAATAATAATTTATGTGCCTACATGGCATGATGGCTGAGTGCTAGCTTTGTGGCAGCCCCACTTGGGGTCCCTGGTGAGTCCCTGGGCTGGTTATCTAATCCTCCTAAGCCTGGGCTTCCTCAGCCATAAAACAGGCATCCTCAGATTCAATGGGAAGTTTCTGGCACAGGGCCTGGACATTGTGAGTGCTTGATAAATAGGAGCTATTACTAGCCCAGGGGAACCAAAATCCTGAGTCCAAGACTCCAGTGACTTCCAGTCCGAGTCTCCAGACCTGGCTGGAGATCCCTGTGTACCTACTGCCCTGGATTCACGGGGCCTCCCAATCTAAATCTACTGTGTGTAACATGGACTCTGCCACATCCCCACCCCTCACCTTGCTCCTTCTTTATCCCTGGTGTTGGTGATCAGCAACTCTGCCATCCTAGTTGCTCAAGCCAAACACCTGAGCACCACCCCTCCTCTTCCTTAACCCCCACATCCAATCTGCCACCCAGTTCAATCCGCTGTCTCCATGAAGTCTCCCAGTGCATTTCCTTCTCAGCAGCCTCTCTGCCCCCTGAGTGAGGGCTTATAATCTCTCACTTGGAGGATTAGAACTTCTTAACTGGTCTGCTTACATCTGTCCCTGCTCCCTGCTATAAAAGTCATCCTTGTAGTCATTTATTTGAGTATTTATTGAGCCCCTGGGATGCAAGGAGAGATGCAAGGTATGGGTGCTGTCGTCCCAGGGTTTATAGCCTGGTTTGGGATACAAAAACTGCACACATGAAAGTTCAACAACTTTTGAAGGAAGGGGATAAAGTTGTATTCATAGAATAGGTCCAGATAATGACCAGAGTGAGGACTTTGGAGTTTATCTTGTAAGAAACTGGGTCCCATTTTGACCTCAGGAAAAATGACAAAGAATAAAATCAGGTTTTTTTCTGAAAGATGTCACAATAGATGATTTATAGAGAAAGGGCTGGTGGCAGGTAGGGATATTATAAACCTTCCATCTCAGGGCCTTTGCACATGCTGTTTCTTCTTCCTAACACACTCTTTTTCCCTCTTCCTTGCCAAGCCAGTTCCTTACACTCGTATCTCAGTTCAGGACCACTTCCTCAGAGAAGCTTTTCCTGGCTTCCAGACTGGATCAGATTCTCGTTGTAGGTTCTTATAAGGCTACTCCCCTTTGTGGCAGACACTGTTCCCCATCCCAACTTCCTTCCCTCTTGCTTGCCTGTACTGTAGCAACTAGAAATACTTAATTCTCACCTTCTCAACCTGCTTTACAGATAGGGGTGGCTATAGACACAGTTCAAGTCAATGAAATAGAGAAGTTTTCTAGGGGCTTTTGGGATACAAAAGAAAGACATTGTTGGCTTCACCTCCATTCCCCGAATTTGGACTTAATGCTGGAGCAGTGGCAGCTGCTTTGTGAAAGAGAAGGAAAATTAAGAGAACTGCAGGAATGCTGTTCCTGATGTCATTGAGCCACTGGACCTTCCAAGCGTCCATCATCTCTTACCCAGATGACTGATAACCTCTCCACTGGTGACCCTGCTTCTGCCCTCCTGCCCCATGAGTCTCTTCTCATCACAGCAGCCAGAGGGAGCCTGTTATACATCAGATCCTTTCACTCTCTGTTCAAAACCCAGCTCACAAGAGCTGATTGTTAAAATTTCAGGATACTTGTGAGCTGGTTATTAAACCATTGGTAGCTGGAAATCAGCCATGATGGGAGTATTTATACCATAGAAATTGGCAAAGAATACAAATTAGTACCCCTTCCCACCAAACCAGTTGTTAAAAATTCACCAGCAGAATCGCCTCTCATCTCAGAATAAAAGCCAAAGTCCTTACAGTTTCCTGGAAGGCTCCGCATAATCTGGCTGCTGTTAACCAATCATTCTCCTCTGCATTCAAACTGATCTTTTTGCTGTGCCTTGAAGATGCCAGCAGTGCTCTCATACAGGGCCTTTGCACTTGCTGCCTCCCCCTGCCGCTGCTGCCCTGTTCTGCAATATTCCTGTAAATATCTGGAAAGCTGGTTCTCTTGATTCCCTGTCTGCTTGAGTTACCAGTGCAGTGGTGAGTGCTTTCCTGACTTCCTTCATTAAAATATAACCCTCTCCTCCTCCCTCCCTCCCATTCCCCCTTTCCTCTTTACTTTTTATCCAGGTTAAGGATCATCATCTGACATCTGTATATGGGTCTGTTTATTAGTTTATTGTCTATATTTCCCCCTCCCCTAAAAAGTAAACTCCAGGGAAGGAAGGCAGGGCCTTCGTCACTACTGCACTGAAGAAACCCTGAACACCATCTGGGGGAGGGTCCTGCTGCTAGCATCGACGGGTTACCTGGGCCACACAAATGTTCACATTCTGTCTGTGGATGTGAGAAATGTTTGGAAGAAAGAATCATTAGAACTTGATGAGTTTAGAGATGGTTTTGAGTTTGGGTGACTGGGAAAGAATGGTGGGGCCTTGGAGGAACTAGGGAAATTGGGAGCGAAGGTTTGGAAGGGAGGACAAAGAGCTCAGTTTTGAATTCACTTAGTTGTAACTGGTGCAACTGGAGCCAATAGTGGACAAGGATGTCCCCACCTTCTCACAATCCAAAAAGTTCTTCTTTGTCAGGTGATAGGCTGATTTTCCTTGGGGGAACTCACCCTCTCTCCCATTGTGTGCAGTCTTGGCAGGACTGCCAATCAAAGAACCCTGCTCTTTCCCTCCTGGGAATATTGAAGAGTGTCAGAGGGACAGGAAACGGTGGGAGCTGATTCGTGCCAGTGGTGGTGAAGATCCTGCTACCAAGATCCCCAGAACTTCCTTGGTGGCTATCCATTCTGAGGCCTGGATCTTCATCTTTTCCTTTGCCATTTTGCTCAGGCAGTCAGTTTTTGTTGCTTACCATCAAAGAACCCTAGCTGACAAGATATTCTAGGCAACTGACAGCACAAGATCAGGGTGGGGGCAGGGGCGGGGGCGAGGGCTCCAGGGAGCCACTGGGGATAGAGATATAAGCACAAGGGAGAAGGAGGTGATACCTTAAGCCACAAAAGATATCTTCAGTCCACCAAACCAGAGTGTATAGAGAGAAGGGTGGGAATCAAGGAAACATCTGAAGAAACTAAGAGTAAGGAAGAAAGGCAGCCAGATCAGGAGCTACAGATGCTTTGTCCTTGGCCAGACTAAATGGACCTAAAAGTCAGAAGCCTCTGAGAGCTGAGGTCTCAAGTGAGAAGGGCATTATCTTGCCTATGTTTAATTCCCGCCCACTTCCGGCTCCCTAATTAATCTTGCGAGTTCCTTTAAGGCTTTTCCTGAAAATTTAACGTTTTAGGGACAGTCATGGAACTTTCTCAGCTTCTCTGAGGATGAAGGATCTTTGCTCCATGGCCACAGGATGAATGTGAACAAAGTGTCTAATGAACACACCTCTCCCCATTGTCCCTCATAGCTCTCAGGCATAAATCAAAATGCCTGAATTCTTCAGAGATTGCGTCCAGAAATACAATGTTACATGAAATGTTTCCAATTTGCTTTCAGCCAAATTACCTCTCTTGCTTTAAAGGGCAAACTTGTTTTCTTTGATTATGATGACGCCCATCAGTTCTTGACAGCTCATTTGAGTGAACAAGAAAAAGCCAGTGGAACCAGGATGGTCGGCGGGGGAATGCATCTGACTTTGATGACAAAAATCACTGGAGAATCTCTTTCTTTTGAATTCTAATATGATCATTTCATGTCTTTCTTAATGCCACCAACCTTAATATT